ATCGTATATGGTTTAAAATGCCATGAAATTTTGGAGTTTCCTGAAAATAAAAAATTGTCATTGAACGAACTGAAAACAATACAGCCTGAGGAAATTATCCTATGTTTAGCGCACCTCGGTAAGGAACAAATGGCAAAGGAGGAAGCTGATTATATTTGGCAATCGGTTGTAAACTATTACAGTGGTATCGCGAATATACCAGAAAGTGTTTTGGTAATACTCCATTGGGTCACGCCAGCTGTGACGCCCGAGGATTACTGCAATCTGACATTCAGTAGCATAGATGTTATTCAGAATTTCGGTCTTAATTATGGCTTAGATCAAGAACAGTTAACGGCGTTAGCGGATCGTGTTCGTGAAGATTTCGCTGGAAAGGAGCCAGAAGATTACACATATTACGATTTGGTCGCTTTGCGGCAGATACTGTGCGCTTTCAACCAGAGTGAAATAGAGAGGATCCACCCGCAAGCGTATAGGGAGGCGGCCGGGATAATCGGAAAATTAGAACATTGCAACCCAGAGGTTATGCAGGGGTTTGCAAACTTGGCGGTGCATCCACGGGCTTTCGGCCCTCCTGCACTATGGTCCCAATCCGTTGTCAAAATCCTAGGAAAAGTAATAGAGTTCATGCCTGCAGACGTTGTATTGTTGAGCAAAGCTAGCGTAGTGAATAAATTTAAAATGGCAACCACATAATTGTTTTCTGTTCTGGTTTTAAACTACAATAATATTTATGGTACAAAATTATTTAATGTCATTCCATCTTTTTGAATCAATATTTGAATCCATATTTTATATTATTTTCCGTTACTGTTACACATAATTGGGAGAAATTTCTAAATGTTATTAAACTATTATTTAAGAGTTATTTAATTACCAATTTGTATACAATAATTTTTAATTAGGTTCATAAATGTTATATTAGAATATCCTGATTACTTATGTAAAGATTTTTATGATCTGCAATAATAATAAACACAGAAAATATTGTAACAAAATGGTTTTCTTATTTAGTTGCTCGCCAAAGCCGAGTCAAAATACAAGTGAACAAAAAGCACTATCCTCTTTTTCTCGAAACGCTTCTTCGATTTTTTTGAAACCCTAATAACTTCAGTTTGGATTATACTACTCGTAGATTATGTTTATAAATTTTTTGGGATGTAATCCCAGTAACGAATTTATTAAACACAGGAAGTTTCAATAGCATAAAAACCTCGATTTCGGTACTTACTTACTACATCAAAACCTATTGGGTACTTCCTGAAGTCGTAGAAAGCTGAAATTTAGTTTGTATGATAGCATTAGTATATAGACAACGGAGAGATTCTAAAACTTGGAATTAAATTAGGGGGTGGAACTTTTTATGAAACTTCCACATATTTTGAAACTAGATGCCCTTGCTATAAATTATAATTATATGATTTATACTAATTTATTATTACATTTTTTTATCCGCATGTTTTGTATAACTTGTAGTATTTGTGAAGTAAGGGCTTTTAGAGTTATGGCGTTTAAAGTTAGAATCTATGCGAGAACTGATTCTTTTTGACAATGCAAGTCATATAGTATCAGCTTGGCAACACTTTAGATGAAAGTTTTTTGAGTGAGTTGTATTTTACTTTGTAGACAAATTTTTGGGTACCACCTAAAGCCAATTATTTGGATTCCTTTGAAATTATTGTGGATGTATAGGTTACCTACATTTCAGCAGACTAAAGCTCATAACAGATGGCTAAGATGCTATAAGATTTTATCTTAAGGTATGTCAATAAAAAAAAAATAACATCGTCAACTAATACATACTGAGATTACGATAATTTAAATGCTATAAAGATACCATCTTCACCTACGAAATATATATGTTGTTACACTCGTAGTTTGGCAGCTTAAAATGCAGCTTAAGATCAAGATACTTATTATAAAAATATGATATTATCTTAGTCGTCGTATATTTTATCTCAAGATATCATATTATAGCTTCATAACCGTCTGTTACGACCTTTATTCTGTTATAAAAACAACCCAGAACTTACCATCGACAGCATCGCTGTCATAGCATTGAAGTTGAGCGCTGTTATTAGCAGAATAGTATAGCAGTTGCTTACCAATCTAAAAAAGGTGTAATAATCGACTTAAGTAAGTAAGCAAATTCATTTGTTTATATTTTCTCGAAGGGAACGAAACAATTTGGTGCAACTATATTTCGCTATTTAAGGCAGGAAAACAACCGATGGGGATTTTCCGCGAGCTGAAAAGTTTTCCTGTAAGCAGTAACTTCGTCTATTACACGATACAGCGATACAAAGAGATAAGTTCTCTGCAAGATCGCCAAAGGAGTTGTCGGAGACGCTCTGCGAGGACGTCTACCAACATCAAACTCATCCGAGAGCGATTTCGCCGAAATCCATGTCGCACTCAGAAGAAACTCCCTCTGCAGACTAACACTTGTTTCGCGCGTTTCAGTGAACAGAATACTGAAATATAATTTTAAGGTAAAGGCCTATAGCCGTAGAAAAGCCGTTTCTTTATTAAACGTTAAAAGTTGCTGCTGAGGACATGATGCCAGGAAGATACTCTTCACCGTCGAGAAGATTTTTACTGTCGAAGAAAAGTGCAACCGCCAGAACAATAAAGTGTACGCTTAAATTCAAGGATGTACCAGCTTCTCACGGAATGTCTCGCGCACTCATGACCCGGCTGGTGTAATGGTATGGTTGGGAGTTTCATGTGAAGGTGTCACTCCGCTCCATTTCTCCCAAAAATATGTCAAGGTGAAAGCCAGGAATTATTAGAGAGTCATTTTGGAGCGCATGGTGAAACCCCTGTCTGATACGTCACAATAAGGATTAGGTTATTCAGCAAGACTCAACGCCATCCTATAAGGTAAAAAGAAGCCAAGCTTGATTGAGGGACAATTTGCCGGCTTTCTTCGCGGTGGATGAGTGGCTCTCCTCCAGCCTCGGCCTCAACCCGTTAGATTATTCTTTATAGACTGAATTAGAGTTCAGGGCCTGCCGAAAGTTCTACCAAAACTTGGAGTCACTGAAGCGAACTCTTGTTCGATAAGCAAAGCGAATTCCGCTAGAAAATATTCGTGTCGCCATTGATGACAGACCGAATCGTCTAAGGGCCTGTATTAACAAAGACGGTAATTTTGAATAAAATGTATATTTGATTGTTGATTATTATCTATTTAATGGTTACTGAAAATTTTAGAAATTTAAGTTACATATAAAAAGGACCCGATTGTGTAAAAACGAATTATAAAAATACATGAATAAATTAACTTAAATAAAAAAAAAAGAAAGAAACAAGCCCAGTAGTTTAGAATTCTGTGAAGTAATACTAAATAACTACACAATTGAAATAGTTTCATAATCGATACACACGTAAAACAAATCATAAATTCTAATCCAAAACAGAACGACTCATAGTCGGTGCCCCTCGGGAAGATTCGATTTGTTTTTCTTTAAATTATTTATTTTTATTTTATACTTTTTAGTTACGATTTGTTGACTTCGTTATAAGATGGTAAATTTCGCAATCTAGTCATTTCATCGAGGTAGTTAATATCGTGGGAATTATTGAGTAACTTGCAGTGGTCTAAACTACTGATCATAAGTCCCTCTAGAGACCTAACTCGGCTCAAAGCTACATATGCTTGTTGACCTTTAGCATTTTTTTTACCAAAATATTTGTTCTTCATGCTGTTTCACTGTTTTTTTTGTTTGTTAATTTTCTTACTTATTAATTAAATATTTTATTTAAAGTTCAAACGATATTTATACTTTAAATAAAATCTTTAATCAATAAGAAAGAAAATTAACGAGAATGGTTGTTTTGTTAAACAACTTTAAATCGTTATATATCCTAAACTATTATTTAAAATTAAAAATTATAAATGGAACCTAAAGATAACGATACCCCACTTGACACAGTTCATCTTTTTTTTCATTTTGACAATATGGCGTCTGGTTGTCGATGTGGTGAATTTTGATTACTGTCATGTCTTTACTGACATTCGCAAGGTTAAGACGAATCGATTGACGTAAGAATCCTCAAAATCAGCCTACGCATTTGGTCTCTAGAACGCCACATAGAAACAAACATACATACATACACTGATAAACACATTACCCTCCTTTACGTCGCGCAGTCGGGTAAAAATGTTACGTAACTTTTATTTCGTTTCAAAACTTATGAACACACACACATACACAAATCACTTAGTTTTATTGTCAAACTTAATATATTATTTCTATCTTTAGGAAGCCAGAAAACGATCGGTCCTGCATTTTACAATAGATACAGTATTAAATGCACTAATAACGTTACATTTCCATATTTTGCACTAAAATTTTTGTTCGTTGTATTATAAAATATATGTAATAATGTGTCGTAAGTTTCTTTCTTATGAAATACTATTAGACCTCGTTCACACGCCATTGCCCTGGACATTCCGTACGTTTTACGCTGTACGTTTTAACTTTATTACTGCAAAAAATATGCCACTATCTGTTAAAATGTATATTACACAAATACATACAGGATACTTCTGTGTGATAAGGACTAGAAATTGGCAATTAAGCAATTTTAAAGTGATTAGATTAGAAAAGAAAAGTAACAAAATCTTCGACAATTCAATAGTTAGCTTATAATAGGTATTATGTGTATGTTTAGATAATAAATGAATGAAGTGCTAAATAATTACTTGCTCAACAAGATTTCACAATAAGAAAGCTTGTTTGTAAGCGGTTTATTTCACAAATATACATATAAAAATGGTTTTCACATGAATGATATGAACCAAGTAATAAATAAAATATATTAAAATTTAAAGTTAATGGTCAGTTGTCGCTTCTATATTAGATTTTGTTCGCTGATCCGGCAAATGTTGTTTTGCCATATAAATTTGTAACAAATTATCAATTTTTGACAGCTTAGCCTCAAATTTTATGACACATTTCTGTGTAATATTGTAATCTCAATATTGATTTCAGTGCTTGTAAGTCGCCGTAGATCAACATGACAACCGCAAGCTTGTTGTTGACGGTGACCACAACATGGAATTTATCCAGCGACAAACCGGAATTGGGCAAAGTAGGTCGATCTGTGCAGAGCATCGCCGCTGAGAGAGTAAAGGAACTGAGGGAGACGCCCTCTACCAGGGAGCAAGCACTGCGCATCATGAGGGAGTGGATACAACAAAACCACGACATCAGAAATGTGCGACAAGGTGAGTGATATCTTTTTACATGGTCACCGTATTTCTTACATTGTCACGCACACTATCCATAAATGCAACAAGTTTTAAACGGCTTTATGTGAACACATACCTGTAAAGAGTCCAAAACTTCAATAAATTTAATACAAACGCGATGGAACCATTTAAAAGGAGTTTCGTTTAAAAGTTATTAATGTCGAGCCTGGTATTATCTAAAAAAAGACATGGATGAAATCGTATCAGTTAAGTCAAAAATTTGTTGTCAGTGTATTCCACCGTTGGAATCAAGTAATTTTTTTAATCTTTATTAACCTGCTAAGAGTAAAAAAAATAAAAAAGATATCTAATATAATGTTGCTATTTATGATAAACCTACTGAAGGTGTATGACCGTTTTTTGTCAATGTTCACACGGTAGCACGTCAGGTTACACAATATGTCAAATTTTTGCAATGAATTTTGACCTCTACATTTATCGTATTAAGATATAAATTGAATGGGGAAATTAGACAGTTTTGTGTAGTCAGACGAGCTGTTGACTGTACGTGCCTACCTAATAAAATACATGTTGAAAATACTATATTCAATTGAAATATGTTTTATTATTGGTACTAAAACATACGAAAAAGTTTGTGCTCTAATGATTGATTTTCTCGTATTTGCTCGCGGGCAGAACACTGCTTTATTTAATATATAAGATACATGTGTATATGCAAGTTCATCGTACCTACACAATTAATTACATATTCGAATTTGGATTGTGTAAATATATTATGTATGTAGTTCGAGGACGACATATGTATGTGTCAAACTAAGTCCTGGTTAACACGTATCTTTGTTGTTTCTCCGCCCCGTCCTTCTCTGTTTTATGATTAGGTTAGGTAATTCAAGACACTCTGGTCATAAACCACCTGCGGCATGACAGGCTTTTGTAGTCCAGCTTGCAGCTTGCAAAATAAATACTTTATTATTATTTACAATTATGTATAGGTGCAAGATCATTGAGAACGTTTTTTTCCACTCCCATAATCTATCTTAACCTTTTTATAATATATTTCGTATAATTTTTTTTTTCAATAGTGGAGTAATTACTTTCTTTTATTGCAAGGTTATGTTATCAAGGGAACAGTATTACTTAAAATATCAGATAATTCGTTGTCGCTGAAAATACTAAAGTACAATTGCTTTTCTCATAATTAATATCTCCACCCACATCCCCGACCATAAGGACCTTTCGTCCGCCATCGTGCAGGCGAGACGCGAAAGTTGCCTGACGTCCGACTGGCACCCCTTACTTACTTACCTATCTACGTCATAGACATACAAATTAGACAAAAAAGTTTTTGCCTCACTATTTATTATTATACGTTATAATATTATTTTAAAATATTTTAACTACTGTTTTATAAAATCGCCAATTTAAGTCACATATCTAAAAAGACAAATTATTAAATATATATTCATGCAAAACTACATTACCCAGTAAAGCCACATTTTACAATGACAGTTTAAACTGCGTACCAAATTGACATTTTTCTTGATCTTGAGATTATTTAATTACAAATGTGTAGGCTTTAATGAATATATGGTCCCACATTTCATACCAATGATGTAACTTTTGATTTAAATAAAAGGATATAAGAGAATAAATAACGGTTGACTATATTTTTGGAATTAAATTTTATTAATTTTATAATGATAAATATAGAATTCTATGAGATCATATAATTATTATGTTTACTTATGCGTCCTACTTACCTAAAAAATGCTTTTCTTTTCGTGTCTCCTCTTCATAGTGCTCTCTACCCTCTTCTTCAAACTTAACCCTCGATATTACCTTTCATACTAACGAATTCCTTTCCTTCAGTACTCACTTGCGCCTATGGAATTCCCTTCCTGAAGCCATTAGGAAAGCTCGCAGTTTACATTGTTTTATTGGTCAAGGGAAGACCCACTTTCTGTCTCTGCCTTGATAACTCATAAAACTATAATATATATTTATTTTCTTTCTTTATTGGATTTCCTATATTTTTATTGCTTATTCAGAAAAATCTAGTTACGCCTTTTGTGTATTCTATTTTTTCAAATAATTATTATTATCATCACTAAGAAAAAAATTTTTTTGTGCAAAATAACATGTGATCTAAATGCATAATACTTCATGTAAAAATATTTGGCTCTTTCAAAATTGTGTGTGTTAAATTGTTGTTATTTGAATCTTAAATAAAGGTTTTGAATTTATTAAAATAACCATGTTTCTACATTATGTTAGTGTTGTTGTAATCGTTTAAGAGGGCGTATAGCATAGATAATTGATGGTTTTGTACAAATAAATAACGTTCTAAAAATTGGAACAAACTTTAGGAAAATTACATCGTCATTCAAAGGATTTTGTCGCAGTTACAAAGTTGTATTAAATTTAATCGATTGAAAAAAAAATTGTAATGTCACTTTTCAAAGTACTTTCTATTTTATTTGGGGTCTTACTGCTTGAATTACATAATTAGTCATAATTAAATAAAGAGCTAATTACAAGCCTCCACAAATATAAAAAAAATTAACACGTTCCGGAACCACGAAACCTCGTCCTTTTTGATTTTGACGTCGGTTAAAATAGTTGCGAGGCTCGTTTAATTAGTCTGGTTTTATATTTAGCCTAGCCTAAAATCATTATGATGTGTATATGTGTATGTCATTATAGTATACAAAATCGCAAGTTTGGGTTATTTTACTTTACAAACATATAAATATTCAATTCCATAAACAACCTTTTAGATCTATTGACGAATGACCTAATTCTGAAAATTAATATCGGTAATGAAACTTCAACTAACGACAATTTTAATTTTTGTACAATTGGATGTAATGTACATTATTTAAAAACTGAAATATACCAAATTCATTGTTGAATTAAATTCAGTTTAATAACCACATACATCATATTTCAGATGAATCGTTCTTATTAAGATTTTTACGGCATAAGAAGTACAGTATCCCGATGGCACAGCAGACCCTCCTGAAATATTTGAACCTTCGAAAATATTATCCGGATATATTCGCTTATGGCTTGGACTGTGAAGATTCGAAACTACAAGAAATGATTAATATTGGGTAATTAAAAAAACCTTTTTTAGTTCACGAATCGTTATTTTTCATCACTGAAATTGATCCCTGATTATTAAGTAACTGCGATTTGTATGATGTAAAAAAAATGTAACATTTCTACGGCGAATTTTTCTTAAAAGAATGAAAATTGTGCTTGCGAAAATCCGGTTTGTGACCTACTAGCACTGTTTTAATAACGTTATAATGTTTTGTAACACATTAACACGCTTAGTGTATTATTGTTAACAATCGTTATACAAACATCAAAGCGATTACAAGTTATCATCATTAATCTGAGCCACGCATATCACGATTTTGATCTGGGAACTATATGACAGCTTTCAACTCGAGGACGTGGTAACAGCCATTTTCTAATTATTATATAACATATCCCCATAATATAAGTGACACAATTTCACAACTATTTCCTAATTTCAAGGTACGTAGTGGTATCCCCAACACGAGACAGCAAGGGTCGACGGGTCATCGTTTATGATATGAGTAAGAAATTCTTTTTTTTATAACATTAATTATTTCAAATGTCGGAAGTTGTTTTGGGTCATTTCGTATATGTTACAAAACTTAAATGGTGCTGTAACGCGAATAGTTTTGAGCGTAGTAGGTAACTATTGCCCAATATATGCGTATGTAAGCTAAGTTACTTTTAAGTAAGTAACATGCGAAATATAGACTGCTTTCTAAAATCCTTACAATGCGAATGCAACTTTTGTTTATGTAAAATAGTAATTATCGAAGGTGATATTGTGACATCAGCATTTGTTTGTTTTATGGTCGATGGAATATCTAGTTGATTAGCGATTACAGTTTATTGACAAATGATCTTTCCCAATAATATTTTTTCAGTAGGAGTTGGTTATGTGAATTTAGTTGGCTCTTTAAATTTTGTAAAATATTAGAGTTAAGTGACAAGAGATTAGATAGAATATAATGGAATCTGGCTGTCTTGCTTGCGATAAATATGATTATAATTTTATTTTGGAATTTTAATTTGGAATAATTGAAGCTAATGAGGCTGCCGAGTTCAAATGACACGAAATTGTATTGATTATTTATATATAAGTAATTGTAGTAGTAGTCTACAATATACATGTAGCATTACGTTAAAGCTCTATATGTAGACGACGGGAATAGACGGGAGTTTGAATGAAGTAACACGTCAAAAGCTAGAGTTACCCATTGACAGTTCGTATTTCATTAAAATTCTCATTTATTGATTAATAATATTTGTCTATGTTATTTAAATTTCTTCTTCTCAAATAATATAATAAGAATGTTATCTTTGATGAGAACATGTTAGTATAAATCTATCTCTTACTGAAAATATATTATAAGACATGTATTGTAGATGAATGTACATACTAATTAATTAATTATTTATTTGTTGTTTGCAGGTAAATTCGATCCTAATAAGATGACGTGCTGGGATATCTGCCGGGTGCACTGCACGATTTACGAGAGTCTGTTGGAAGACCCGATCGATCAAATATGTGGGTTCACGCATGTCGGCAGTGGCGGCGGTGTGACGGGGGCTCATGTTACCGCATGGAACCCCACTGACTTCGCTCGCCTTATGAAATGGGGGGAGGTAAGCCTAGTTAATAAATTTAGATAGTATCAAAAAATACAATAGACAAGCAACCCTACTGTGCTCATCCAGTTCAGCGCTAGGGAAAGTTTGTGAATGGAAATAATAATAGGCTTTTAACTTTTGATTTATAAAGGTAAACGTCCACTTTGGCCGCACGGTACACAACGGACGGTACAAATTTGCTGACGTTATACGTCCACTGCATCTGAATTTTTTTAACAGAAATACTATTTGACATAAAGCTACGAAGTAATGTACTTATAAGAATTGGGAGGTTGGGGAAGTTTACTTCAAGCAGCGGAACTTTTGTGAAACGTATCGGTTTGATAATGAACAAGGTATACTTTTTTGACATACATAGCGACCAGTTCGATGTTCCGTATTTTGTGTATTACATAAGAACATTTAATAACATTGTTGACCTCGTGAACCTTCCTACTTTTTCCCATGGATTTGAATTATGAATTAAGTTCGTCACAGATAATGTCGAAATCACACGAAGACTTATTTTTATTGTTTCCTTCTCGTAAAAAATAATTACAAAACAGTGGCCGTAGAGTAAATATACCTACAGACAAAGAGGAAACGAAAAGAATAGAGAGTCAAAGTATTTCTAATTAATCGTCTAATAACGCCCACTGTATTTGACCGCTAAAACACTAAAAAGCAGTCTGATTCAAATTTCATTAATTCACTGTCCTTAAATATCTGCCAGTATAAGACTATTATTAAAAAATATACTAGTTACTTTTTTAGCAGTCCAGCTGTTGAAAACAGTGGGCGTTATTGGGCTATAGTACCTTAGTATAATAATTTATTATTATTTCATGAAAAAATTGCACACTGTTATGAATATTAAAAGAGCCTAAGTATTTTATTAACTAGAGGAAAGTAACCGTGTTGTTCCAAAATATCAATAACACACTCTTTATTCGAGCGTTAAAATTAAACAGTAACAGCTATTGCATTCTCCATATAAAATATGGAAAGGTATTAAAGTAATAAAAATAAAATGACGATAGTCACGAATTAAACTTATATTGTAATCTAATATTATAACAGTCTCAATCCAGCTTCACCTGGGTCATAAATCCTCCTTTAGAAATATCCTATCCAACCCCACAGTTGAAACGATTAATCTTGTTCGTTTCGAGTATAACTCTTAGAAATTAATATGACACCTGTTATAAATTATATAAAAATGCGTTTCTTCGGAGTCAGGTTAGCATTTCGTAAGCAGACCAAATTTCGTTTCCATAGAAATAGAATAAGCATTCAGGTTCCGTGTTGATTCGTACGAGTTATTATTATATTAGTTATTTTTTATTCGCATTTCATCGGTCATGGAATGTCAGATAGCTTTGAAATTCTTTAAAAATACAGCGTCGAAATCAGCGTTATCGTAGCAGTACAGTTCAATAAAATAAAACATGCCTATCCTTTTAAGTAGTTTTTATTGAATTAAACATCTATTATTTGTAATTTGTAATTTTAACGAATCAGCATTGCTGATAAATATATGACATGAGTATATGACACCTCGCATACTCAACCCATATCACAGAATTATTACCAAGAATAAAATTTCTGTTATACACATAGTTAACATAAGGTTGATGGATTTTTTGTCTAATATACGAGGGTCAAACTGAAAGTTCTTAGAACTGGCCACTTATAAACAATATAATAAAAAAATAATTCTAAAATTTGAAAATATAACTCTTTGCCAATATTACTGAGTATATATTTCATTCATTTGTCATTTGTTTTACGATTTGGCGGCAAATTGAAAATTGTCTGTGTCACGTCATCATGAATTTAACACGAGAAAATTTTCGTGCAATGATTTTTTATGACTTTCGATGTCATTTAAGTCAACAAGAAAGTTATGATAGACTACGATTGGCCTTTCACGATGAAGCCCCATCTCGTGCGACTGTTTACAACTGGTTTAATGAGTTTCAAACGTGGTCGCACTAATCTCACTGATGATTTACGTGAGGGACGGCCTTCTACGGCGACGACTGAAGATAACATCTGTGTTGTGCGGCGTATGATAGAGACTGACAAAAGAGTGACCTATCAACAGATTCGGACAAGCTTAGGCATCGGTATGAGTCAAGTGCACAAAATCCTCCACGAACATTTAGCGGTCAGGAAGCTTTGCGCCCGGTGGATACCTCATAATTTGACTGAGGCTCAAAAACTCCATCGTGTGGATTGGTGTCGTAAAATGATTGAAAGATTTAACGGAGGTGACTCAAATGCTGTGTTCGACATACTAACAGGTGACGAAAGCTGGATTTACTGTTATGATCCTAAAACCAAAAGACAATCTGCTCAGTGGGTGTTTCCTTTCGAGGAGTTGCCAACTAAAGTGAAGAGAGATCGAAGTGCGGGAAAAAAAATGGTGGCCTCGTTCTTTGGAAGGATAGGTCATTTTGCAACAATTGTGTTAGAGGATCAAAAAACAGTTTCTGCAGAATGGTACACTACCAATTGTTTGCCACTTGTCTTGGAAAAAGTTCGAGAGAAACGACCTCGCAGTAGGATCCTCCTTCACCACGACAACGCCTCGTCGCACACCGCCAAGCGAACGATCGACTATTTGGCGACATCAAACGTTGAATTACTGGGTCACCCGCCGTATAGCCCCGACCTCGCGCCTTGTGATTTTTATTTATTTCCAAAAATTAAAGAAAATCTTAAAGGAAAGCGGTTTATGAATGCTGAAGAAGCGGTGGCTGCGTATCGCGATGCCATTGAAGAGACCCCTAAGGACGAGTGGGCAAAGTGCTTTTCCCAGTGGTTCCATCGCATGCAGCGGTGTATTGACGTGAATGGACAATATTTTGAAAAGATATAATAAAACTAATAACTGGCTAATGTAATCAGTTTTTGATTTTCTAAGAACTTTCAGTTTGACCCTCGTATGCCGGCATTATATACATAGTTTACATAAATAAATTTTATATTACTAAAAAATACGATAAAAATACCTGTCTCTGAATTTGTTATTACCCGAGATATGGATTATATCTCGGGTTCTTAGATAATAATCTTGAATCAGGTTATAAAATGCTAACATTATGTATTACTCATCGAATGATTAATGATTTCGTATTGCACCCTGAGGTTTCGAAGCGAACTAATTAATTTTTAGTTGCGTCATCTTAACTATATTCTTACGTATACGTACGACCAGTATTAATTTGTTAAACGATTATTTTTTTCAATCATAAATAAAGTCAAGGGATGTACCTATTTTTATATTAATTCGACTTTGAATATGTATAGATAAATAAATAACCGATTTTTAATAAGCTCTCTAACTGCTCACAAAAAGGAGTGCTTTGTTTTTTTTTAAGGAAAACTGACTGGTTATTTTATTTTAGTTCGATTCTGGCAATCGTTTTTAATTTATTTTTTAACACGATTATTATAATAAAAACTAAAGATAATCTTAAATTTGAAATTTTTCTGGAAAAAATATATTTAAAAAAGAAATAAAAAGAATTATCTCTCTTTCAGCCAGTTGCACAAACGTGTATTAAAATTGACATTAGTTTAAAGCGACATTACCCATACAAAATTGATATTTATTACAGCTTAAAGGCGTCATTAAACCTTAATGGACGATTGTGAAACTAGCTGTTTAACTTGTAAACATACTATATTTTATACAAAAAACAAATCACTTGCTAAGCCTAATATAATAAATAGTAAAATCTTGTTTTATTTTGCAATGCAGGTAACCCAGTTTCTAGAGCGTCTTGCTCAATTTAAGTGTATTTGAAGTGTAAATAGAGTAAACAACTACAATTGTATCATAAACATGAGTATGTAATGTTAATGTAACATGTCAAGTTCAACGTATTAGGTTACACGATAAATTGGTACAATTTTAGTATTCAACCCTTAAATTTTTATTATCTTTTTTCCAAAAAATCATGTTAGGCGCCTAAGTGTATGACCGTTTTATTACAGAATTAACTTTATTTCCTCTACTTCACCCGCGTAAATTATAAGTCTACGTCTCTCGCGTATAAAGTAGCTTCCCATAGGAGAAAATTAGACATGTGGGGAAAGAGGGGGAATTACAGACACTTAACTTCAAACGATAATATAAACCAGACCATTAGGAGTAATCAGTCTCTGTTTTATTTAAATTAAACTTTGGTTATTACCTTACAAAATTAACATAACAATTTAACCTCTTCTAATCATTTAGTATAAAATAAATGCAATAATCAAAAACATTCGTGTCCGTAATTACCCGGACCTCGCGGGGTTAATCCGGACACCGGATAATTACGAATAACAAAATTATTCTTTACAAAAATCACAAATGTACCCTCTGGAGGTACTAGGTCCCGTACAATTCTCATGTGCCCATTTTTGGCATGTAATGCACATTATCCAGTCTTCTGTAGGGGGTGAAATATACTTCTCAGCACAAATAATACAATAATATTCTTCCTCATTGGCGCTATCTTCAAAATTCTTAAAATTTTTTACTCCTTTCTTAGCTTTCGTTTTAGTATTTTTACGCTTCTTTATACTTTTTTTTATTATATCAGTCTTTGTCTTCTTTTTTCCTACTACTGGATCTTCCTTATCAGTCTTTTTCTTTGTTCTTTCTATTTTTCTCTTCTCTTTCTTCTCCAATTCCTCTTTTTCTGGAGTACTAGTTAATATTATGGAATGCTTCGTTTTTTGTGATCGTGTCTTATTTTTAAGAGGAGTTTGAAGAGAAGGCATATTTATAATATCAGACAATGGAATTGATGCATTCAGATTTGCAATGGTAGGGTGGACCGTGTCTTCCAGAACAGGTAATGGTAAATCGTTAGTCTTTCCAGCCTGAATATCAGTCTCGTTCAAATCAGAAGGCAATAAAAGAGATGGAGATTCATTTCCATCTAGAGACTCACAGGATGTATCAGATTGATCGCCTAAGTTTCGATGAGAAATTGTTATAGACACATCTCGTGCGACTGGCGTTTGTAGATCAATTGTCGATTGATTCGGGTCTTGAGAAGCAACTGATCTTGGTGCAACAGATATTGTGCTAGGGTCTGTTGTATCAGCAAGATTCTCAAATGTTGTTTTAAACTTGTCTTTGTCCAGGGGATAAATGCCTGCTGCTTTGAAGCCGTTCATGGCTTTTTCTATATTTGTTGTCCGATTAAATGCCTTCGTATACAGACCAACAACATCAAATGTTGTTATTTTAGCTCCTGGTTTGTTAACCATGAATGATTCACACTCTTTGTTATAAGCAGTCTTTAGCGGGCCGTGGACAGTCAAATCAAGAGGCTGCATGCGGTGGGACGCATGTGGAGGCAGTGTCAATACGTGTATATAGTTCTTTTTACAAAATTCGTATGCTGCTAAGCTAATGTGGCTCTCATGATTGTCCAAAATTAGTAAAATAATATTATCCTCAGCGGGTCGGGCAAAACTTTTAAAATGATGAAGCCAATCTACAAATAGCTGTTCGGAGATCCACCCAGAGTCGGATACAGATGCCACCATGTTACTGTTACTTTGCTTCATTAACAATGGATTCATCCTTTTTCTCTTAAAAATAAAGAACGGTGGAACATAACTACCAGCAGCATTACATGCATTAATAACAGTTGTTAAGCTACCACGTTCACCACTCGTGCATTTGCCCACCTGTTTCATTCCTCTGGGAGCTAGTATTTTAGAATTTCTTTGAACTGTACTGATACCGGTTTCATCAACATTGTATATAGCATTTGACTCAAAACGATATTTTAACATCAACTGGGTCAAGTTATCAAAAAAAATATCAGTCTCTTCGTTGTTAAATGCTAATATTCTGTGCAATGAGGTCGCTTCAGGTTTTCGAAGAGATATTTCCGGATGCCTTGCCATAAAACAATAATACCAGTCCATTCCAGCCATTTTAGATGTTTTATCAAATCTATGTTTCAATTTGTTTGCCTCAGCAAAATCAAATGCAATTTTTCGTAGCGTCGGTATAGTGAGCCCATAAAACTTTCGAGAAGAATTAAGAATGTAAGTGACTAGTTCTTGTTCCTGTGACTCATTAAATACAGGCCTCGCACCACGTTTGGGATCAGCCAGATTCCCTTCTTCATTTTTTTTTATTTGGTCAAAAAGTGTAGCTCTTGGTATATTATATATTTCTTCCGCTTTTCTGAAACTTATCTTTTTTTCTTTTATTTCCCGTATAGCTAGCTTCAGTGTTTCAATTGTGTATTTTCTTTCTGTTTTTCTTTTGTATGTGCGAGGCATCTGCAATAAAAGTAGTACATGAACAACGATACATTATTTATGTCATAACATTTACCACCACCATACCGACATCTACTCTGGCACACCATAACAGATCAGACACTAAAACCTTAATATTTTGGGGTAATTTCGGACGTCCGGATTCACCCCACCCGTATCGTCCGCAATTAACCCAATCATATTTATTTTCATTTTTTATCTTTTGTAGGTTATCCTTAGCACGTGTGCTTTTTTTGACGCCACTGTTTGTTTGTTATATCCTACAAGACCTTGATCTCAAAGTAACATTTCGGTAATATATATATATTACTACAAATACACAACATTAAAATTTGTAAAAAGTTATAAGAAATCATACGAAAAACTTTAAAAACACTTACCGTGAAGAGCGTGTGCGTCCTCCCGTCTTGCTTACTATCCGTGCACTAAAGATGGCGGACGTGACCGAAACAGCTGATTCGCGGAGCGCGGGGAGTGGTAACTAACCAGAGACCTCAGTGTCCGAATTTACCCCGCGTCCGTTTTCACCCCATCGTCCGTTTCGAAATTAGTTCGATACAACAAGCAATCAAAACTTTACTCTTTATAATATTAGTATCTATAGATAGTATATATATCTTAAAAATGTATACTTATGCTATCACAGGTATTTTTATAACAATAATTTCTTGTTGTTTCAGCAATCGTTACCAATGCGTCATCAAGAGTTCCACCTAATCAACATTCCTGTAGCAGTTAAATACGTTATCGATTTCGCCAAAAGCAAAGTCTCACCAAAGATGGCGAATCGAGTACATGTATGTTGTTCTTAATTTTTAATACCACTAATATATTTTTCGGTTGTGTGAGGGTGATAGAAGTGAAAGTTGATGGCAGAGCAAAAGGAAGACATTAGAAAAAATGTATATTATGAGGCTTTTGTTATAGTTCTGATTAATGATTAATATGTATGATTTATGATATGGGGTAAATGGATAAGGACTGGCAGAGAAAATGGAATAAGGTTAGACGTTGTTTTTTTTCCAGCAGGACAGGAAAGCGTTGACGCGATAGCTTTGCAAATTAAAAGAGTAAATTTATAAAAGAGAAAAAGCTATGTTAGTGTTTAGACATCATCATTTTGCTTCCTATAGGCCAAAGTAAATAGTTGCCGAGTCTAAAAAATAATAATTAGGTCTTCTTGGGCATATTTCCTCATTCTGGAGATGCTCGATTGTGCAGATAACCCATTCGGTTTGAGATTGCGCAGGTTAAGCAACTTTCGTAAAGATTGGTCGTAATAAACTTCTGCGTAACTGGAAAACCATGTTAAAACCTTTGGTTCCGCTTGAATGTGCAATAATTATCCACCAATTCTTTCAAGAATCGTGTGGTGTGTAACCTTGTGCGTGAATACTTGATAATTACACGTTGTTGAGAATAGTAGCAATATTAGTTTAAATTAAAAGAATCTAAATTTTAAAGGAAATCTATTAGTAGTCAGACCAGACTCTGAAGTCTGATAATCTCACCTACGCCAACTAGCTACAGTCACGCGTGCATAATTTTTTTCACTTGATTTATCCGATATAATATGATATAAACCTTAATTCATTGAGGATGAGGTTGAAAATTATTTGCAAATTTTTGACATATTGTGGTAAGCCGACGTGCTACTGTACCAACACTAGCTCACATTGTGTAAGGAACCTAGGTATCAATTCAGAAAGACTACTCGGAAACTCGGATCGACTACAGTATTTAATTATATAGATATATGTTTATTCAATTACTTACTGTTATTAATTTTAAACCAAAAAATACTTTAAAATATTTTTATTCAAAAGGAAGAAGTTTTCGACCTGGAAAGTTTAAATCTTCTTATAAGTACTTATAGGTAATGTAGGCTATAATGGTAGTAATCACAGAACATAGAGAGAGGTAGTAATCCTGTTGCGCAGAATATACTTATGTTACATTTAGTTACAGAAGTTCTGTGGTTTAGTTCTGTCAAACTGCGTTTTCCATTGTGAAAATAAAGAATTAAACCTATTATATTATAGCATATTAGAGTATAATTAATTAAAATTCTTTGTATATTACTATAATAATGTTATAGAAAAACAATTAATATCTGTAAGTTTTAGTTTAGAGACTGGTACAGCAGAATTGGCACCAATATGGAATTGGTCTTATATAAATAGAAGTAGTTCCCTTGAATAATTGGTAAATAATTATATATTTTTACAGATCCATTCGAATCAGTCGCAGTTATTCAAAATCATAGATCCTGCGTGTCTCCCCACAGTTCACGGTGGTAATATACCGATGCAAGAGATGGTTACATATACAAGACAACTGTTGAGCGAACAGAGGAAAAACGTATGCTCCTTGAATAAAATGGAAATTCTCAGTACCAGAGGAATCATGTCATCCAGAGGCAAACCAATGAAAGATGAAGTCTCCGTAGAAGGAAGCTTTAGGAAACTAGAAATAGATTGAAGTGAATCATTAATTAAGTTAGTTAAGGACTTGCTAAGATTTGAAATGTCACGAAAAAGGATTACATTCAATGTAAATTTTAATAACACGTAATCTGAAATCACTATATTCAGCACCAAAATAGAGATGATTATGCTCTTTTGAAAAAGAGGTGGAAAAGGTCCGATAAAGCTTTGCACGGAGCTGTACGGTGTTAATAGCAATTAACCTTTTTTTGTTAAAGCATGGGATATTAACTTCAAGTTTTAAATCAGGGCTCCCCAACCATGTTCTCCACAAATAGACTATTCCCACTCAACTTGATACTGAATGCTTAAATTACATTGGAGAGTGGAAGAGAATCGTACAAATAACAGTTATATTGGCTTATCAAAATGTCATTTCGTTTTACCCCGCCTTTTGACGAAGTGGAACCCAGTGTTAAATAGATTGTAGTTGGTATATTAAAATACAACAGCATAACATTGTTAGATAATTTTAATACCAAAAAAATATAATTTATCCGTAACCGAAATATGTGAAACTAAGCACAAATTTTTATTATGCAATGTCCTATTTACTATTAAGTTTCTCGTTCCCACCTCGGATTGTAGCAACACATGTGCACTCTTAAAATATATCAGTAAGGAGGAAGTACTCATTAAAACCAAAGTGAAATAAACGTCACGAGATGGCGGTTGCAATAATTTTTGTCAATAGTTAGCACGAAACGATGAATTCAAAAAGAGTTAATTTTGCCCCTCTTGAAAAACTGAAGTTGTATATAAAAATTACTTTGGAAGCTAAAATTATACAAGAAACGTGGAAAGTTAAAATTATGACGACGACTTCGTTATTATTTAATTTTGGAAATTGAACTAACAGTAGCATAACAGAAAGAAAATTGGAACACATTTCATAGATAAATCGATCGACATTAGATTTCATTCAAATGTATCATAGTATTTAACGTCATCCATTTTTTCTAAAAACACTTCCTCCAGTGTGATGGGGAAAATTTCCGTTATTATATAATTTATATTATAGTACCTTTGTAGGTACTATATCACTCGTCCATTCTTTCCATCACTCAGTCCATTCTCCAGCTTTTCCAGTTTCGCGGACAGGAGCAAGTGGACATTAAATATTTTAATGCACACTATAAACGCGATTCTATCCGATGCGAGAATTCACGCATCGCGTTTTTAAGTCTTTACAATGTAAATATTATATAAGGTTTCCCGTTATTTTAAATATAAACTAAGTGCATGCAAATAGGTTTGCCTCCTAAACTTTGATGAAATTTATAGATCAATATACATCATATAGATATATACCTACATTAAATCAAAGAATTTATTCTTTGTAGAAACTGAATTTGACACCTAGGTTATTGTATTTTTATTAGATAGTTTTATCTTTAATGTTTCTATACCTCAATTATTTTAATTATTCACAGCTTAAAATTTATTTACTAGAAATAAGATTACTATAATATAACAAAATAAACACAGTCAAATAATATTGAACGTTTTTTATTGTGTCGGTTTGTAATGTCATCTTTGAATAAATTTAAAATGCTTGAAAAAAATAGCTAGGTGAAAAAGAAACATAATTCGGAGTAGATAAATAAGGATAGAAATAGTTAAATCATATGTCTATGGTAGTACAGAAGATACCACGATACAACTGAGCGTTTAGTGTAAGTTTTTTGGCGTTTACGTTCACCGTCGATAGTAAGCGCGTTAAGATTTTAGTATGGAATTCGGTACATCGCCCCTAGCGGTGACTACCAGGAACTACAAATCTCCATACAAATACGAAGTAAACGCGTTAGCGTAAAACTTACACTTACCACTCTGAATGAACACAAGACTGAATTGGGCAACCAGAATTATTCAAGTATCAAGCTATCGCGCGGTCTATCAATATTCACGTGACTGATTTTACTGTGTAAGTGAAACGGACACCTAAGTAATGCTTTGTATTTTACCCCTCATGTTAAATTAAATAAAACTCATTATAAATTTTAATCGTACGTACGTTCATCGTTGAAATTATTATACCTGTAGCCCAATTCACGTTAGTTACGTGGATGGAATAAATAGATAACCAATAGTATAAAAACTTAACCATAGCTCATATTGATTGTTTCTATGCTTTACTATGTCAACAATACTAATTTATGATTTTTTCTTCAACTGTACTTAAATCGTATATTTTGACGTTTAGTCGGTTCGCATTAGTGTTGTGTAACTCGCACGTTTTTAATGAGGATGTGTGAAGACCTTGTTTTACCTCATGAGGTACTCGCACGGTAGGTACCAATCATTAGGCGAGGTAAAGAGGATGAGTATGTAGCGAGCCGTAAGGCAAATGAGGGATGTCGGTCGCTGAGTGAAACATTTGTGATTATTAATTGATCGAATATTGAGAGCTATAATAATTACTTATTATTGTAAAAATGTTTTATTACGCAGAATGAATGCCTTTTGGTTATTCATTTCTTTCTTCACTCAATAATTATTTTTAATGTCATTACCTACAATAATTTTTTGAATATATTCACTTTGCCTATAATAATATTAATCGGTTGAAGTATAATGATACTTCAACCGATTAATATTATTCATATAAGATAACGTTAAATAAGCACCAATTGCGAGGAAATGTCAAACTAAACGAAACTGAGTCGCTCTATCAAACTCATCAAACCGACTCACTCCCTCGATCACTCTTTAATTATGTTGATTATGTATCGACTCAACCTTTCATTCGAAGCAACTCACTATTCTGCTGAGTGAAGTGTGACAACTATGTTTATACCTCGTGTTCAAGGCCCTAGAAAATGAGAGGTAAAATGAGGTGGTTCAAGGTTGAAAAACGAGTATCTCCCTCGTTTAGTCGCGACGAATAACTCATAACGAATAGTCCATATTCGATCAAAAGAAATGTCATTTTTTTAGCAGAATGGCTCTAAACGTCCAATTTTTTGCAATTTTTTAACACGATTGACTAGGCGAATGTTCTTCGCCGACACTTCGATAGAACTGCTTTCATTTTAAAATTCATATACGTGAATAGGAAAATGGGTCCAACCACTAAATTGTTACGTGAATTCAACCATTACACTGCGCAAATGAAGAGTCACCATTCCCCAAATTAGTTTTGGTTGAAACTTACTATCTTGTAAATTGTAAGCGATACACTAGAACAACCACGATAACATGTTACAAAGTATACTTTAGTTTGAAAACAAAAGCTAATCTTTCTTGAATATTTTCAAATAAAAACAACCATATTGAACACATTCATATTTATTTGAGCGTTAATCAATTCTACAATATTCCGTTGTTTAGACCATAATTTAAATCTATTCTTTACATAAGAAGATATTTTTACAAAACAGAAGATAGTTTTCTAGGATGCGTCTACGTTACCAATGTACCTAATATTAATAACAATATAATAACTAGTGAAAATAAATAATGAATATATAAAAATACCGTACATTTAGAAGGAAAAATGTCCATTGTTCAAAATGTGATATTCAAGTAAATATTTGATTGTGGAAGATGACAGAACTGTTATGTTTTCTCTATACTGGTCGGTGCAAACGTGACGGAAGTCCCTTTTCTCAGAACTACGCATTAGTACGCGACTCATCACCGTCGAGTGTACAAGTTTGAATGTCGTTTCATATAGATATTTGTCAATTCCGCGATCAACGAAACGCGACGCTTCTTCCGTCAGATATGCACCGACCCTTACATTATACAACTATAGCGGATTTTTAAAAATAAAAAGTCATTAAATCATATTTTTCCCAATGGCGCATTTTGTTAGTTACTTAGTTTTCCTTCCATTTGGCCGATACAGTGATTATGACTAAAAGAAGAAAAATTTTACTTGAGAAATCTCAAATGATAAAAATATTGGCTTTGTGGGGTAATTAAACATCAAGTAATATTTATAACTAACTGTTCGCCCGCGACTTCGCACGTGTATATAGCTTATGTCGCCCACGTATAATGCGTCTGTAATATTATAAAGAGGAATTATTTTGTTTCTACTGGAGCTACTATATAATTTACGCAGGTAAAGTCAAGGGACAGCTATTATTCAATATATAGATAGTTTAATTTAGTGGTAACATTGTTATTCCAACAATCAAAGACTCACACCTCAGACTCACACAACAATCACACCTCAATTTCAATCACAATTTACTTGGACTTAAATTCTTTTGTTCAGAATCTATTGCATTTAATGAGACGGTTTATGCACCACATCTACACCAATGAAAAATCATCAACTTTTCTGTTCTCAAAGATTGTTGGTGATGAATAAGGCTGAATTTTCTACCAAATAACAATTTTCATGATATCAACACAAAAGTTGTGAATTTCTCGTTCGCGGAGACGTACCTTTATTTGTATATACCTTGCTTTATTTATTATACATGAATGTTGTGGGCCAAAGCACGTAAATTAAGCAAAAGTAGCCTCTTTTTATAAATAAGCATTGTCCATAAATACAGGTCATAAATAAATATCACTTCAACGATAATAATAATTAAAAAAAACTTTACAATATTTGCACTCTAGTTGGAATGTACAGTTAAAAGTGGTCGCATTTTAGATGGGTTTGTCTAGAATTTATCGATATTCAACTTCATTGTTCTCTATTCCATTTTACGGCATACAAAATGCGCAAGTTAAGCAAGACATGAAGAACGCGTATGCATTTTGTCATGGCGCATTTCCAGCAGCGCCACTGGAATCAATAAAACAATGAAACAATAATGCACTCACTACACACACTCACATTTATCATATGATACGATAAATTAGTAACTTTAATGAACTGAAAAGTCGTATCAAAATCCAAGACGGTAGCGAACGCTGCTGGACGGGTGTATAGCATTTCATCACAGCCACGCAGTCCTTGTTTACGTGCATTTATGCTATTCACATGGCAATCTTGTCGAGTAAAACATATATACAGTCGGTGCATGGCCTAAATATATATATTTATGAGTGAAATTCTTCCAAAACGCGACTGACCTTAAGTTGGGATTAAGGTATTCGTTACTATTTTTACTTATTAATATGATTACTTACTACTTTTGCTACCTTTTTACAGAAACTTGCTTGAAAAATATCAAGTATTTCGTGTACCACAATAGTATCGATTGCTGAGGAGCTTTACTTAAACATTGATGTAATATCATCACAAATAGGGATCATACTGGAGCACTTCATCACTATAAAGCACCCATATCAATGAACTTGTAGTGCCGGCACAATATCATCAACCATGGCTTTAATAATATAAACGATTCAGCATTTATTGCCCAGTAGCTGAAGTGGAAAAGTATTCGACTGGTCAGTGAATGTTTAATAAAATATAATATATACAAGCGATTATCAAGCTACAGAATATGTACGAGTATTAGTATTATTATTATGCAATTGAAAAACGTATCACATATTTTAAAAGTAATAGCGAAATTTAAAATAAATAACACATTTTGAGGTTATACTTAGCCCTAATGTACACGTACAAATATACACAACAAATCAAGTTATTGCCAATGCACAAATTGTTAAATTGTTAGAATTAATTCGGAAAATTAACTATCAAGATTTAGCGCTTTAAATCTTTTAAACATATTTGGGCTATTTGGTAAACTGATGTGCTGCTGATTAAACATAAATAACTGATTCTTCTATGTGAATATATATTGCACTAAGTAAATTGACTGTAAACGAGACACTATCACTCTTACAATTTTCACTACAAATCAAAGAGTATTATTGCAACAAAATATTTTTTTTTTTATATAAAAAATGCTTAATAATCTATTTCATGTAAACTAAGATATTTAAGTTTACTATCAAATTTTCAACTCATAGTTTTGCTCAATATTTACACGTTAAAATATCATATGTAATATAATTTAAATTGCACTTTATTTCGACTAAATTTTCTTTACAATTAATTTATTACCATCGATTTTAGGAATTCGCTAATGTTTCGGTATACTAAAGCTTAACCACTCTGCCATTATCGTTAAACAAATCTCTACGTGTTTTTATGCTTACGTAAACAAATTAGGGTTCACATTGACCACAAATATAAATGCAATCGCAATTACCATTGTCTTATATTAATAATTTTTGCTTAATTATATAGTCTTGCAAAATTACGTTACTTATAAATAAAAATAAAAATTTAAATAACTTTGGAAATGAAACCCTAGAGAAATAAAGTAAAAAAAGTAGTATATAGAGAAAGATTCAGCGTAACTTTCAGCGGATGGTACTTTATTAGTTATTTTGAAAAACAAAACGGTATCTCAAGAACGTTGCTCACATCTTATTCGTGAATTACAAAGGTAACTTGGCATAAAGTAAAAATATTATTGTATAATAGCAAATTTTGTAATGATATTGGTTAGTACGTTCTCACCTATCTCATCTGATCTATTTAATACAATTTATTTATAGCAATTCAAAACCCTTTGTCAGTTTTCATAAAACCTATAACCAATAAGGTACTTACATGACGTGTGATGTTATTATGCATTAAGCTTAGAAATAATAAAACATATTTAAATATCTATTAAAAATATTATGACATTATTAAAATAATTTATCAAGTTTGAAACATTAAACAAGCTCTTACAGGCATCGGCTTACAGGCACAGATACGAGTATTATAATAAGTACTATAGGAATATGGTTAAATTTCTACAGAACAATATTCTTAAATGATAAATTATTTAAAATAAATATATAAAGCTTTAACAAATGTATTTCAAGTTTGAAAAGTATCCCCATTAAACTATCCGATTATTTCCGTCAATACTTAACTCTAATTAGGCTGCTCGTTCACGCCAGACTATTTATATTTCCAACTATCAGAACGTAAGGTTTACATGTAGACATCTTTAGTTTAATAGTGACTGTTTCGTAGGACATGTGCGTGTGCATCCATACATATTTTTATTTTCGCTAACAGTAAACGACAACGTAACATAATAATTATATTATCTTTGGTGTTCCGCCTGCAATGAGAACCGTTGTTTTAGTTTTAACCTCTGTAAAACTGTGCCAACAAGCTCACGCAGTGGTGTAGTCGAATAGTACTTTAAGGAATATGGATATCAAACCTATCCTACGAATCCAGTAAATTCCGTTACATACTGTTATGTATATTGTCTTTTTTATGAAGAGATTCAATCATTATAATTTAACACTGAAAATATTTTCATAAAAAAGGTGTAATATAGATACAACTGATGTCTCTATGCAGAAGGCTTTTTGAAACATGATAAACCACAATAATATCTACCAAAATCCACGCGTATGACCCCACTGAGTGAGTGAGACACCCAATGCATTGTAATACAAATCTTATATTTTTTTTATCAAAACTCGCTATCAATGTTAATCATACGTTAAGTCATAATTCACAATATGCCACACTAGCTTTCGCTAGCGGCTTCGTCCGCGTGGTTCCTAGGGAAATGTTAAGTGAGAAAAAAAATATCCTATTATCTAAGTTAGCTAATATAATAGTAATATCCTATATGTATACCAAATTTCATCAAAATCTAGTGCAGTACAGACAAATTTCCGTTTTGGCGTGATTTACAGACAAATTTCCAAACAATATAAATGTTAAATCGAGTTATCTAATTAATTGTTTAATACTATAAATCACTATTAGTTTAGCCACACCGTTTTGGTACTTGTCACAAGAATTATCCTTTAATTAGCAATATGTTTTTTTTTATAAATCGTAATTTTTTACAGTTTCAAAAAGCTATTTTATTTAATCGTGATGATGTTCGTTGAAAACAAAAATTACATCTGTTACAGCATATAAGCACTTCCATTGGTTTATGTCTGACGTGAGCGAGCAACCTTAAGAACTTATATTATTAGTCCTATATTTAATATCACTTTAGTCAGTTAGTTCCTGTCTCCACTGCGGTAACGACTGCATACTTAAATATAGGTATTTAGGCGATTCTTTGGTTCTTTTACCGAATAAAACGTAGGACGAAGACAAGTGCCGGCGACTAATCGATTCAGCGAAGAAATTATTTGCTTCCGCGAGCTGAGCCGCTGTTGGTGGCGAATTGGAAAAATCACCTGGAGAAGGAAACTTTATACAAATATCCATAGTAATATTTTAAATAATAAACTGTATTAATTTGCTGTTCATAGTGATATTACGGTTCCACAAGACTAAATATAAAGCAAATAATAATTCGGAATTGCTATAGGTAAAAACGCACAATTACTCGACAGAAAAAATAGTAACGGCTGAAAGATTGCTCAAAGTCCATATCGTAGATACAAAGTTACAGAACGAATAATCTTTCCTCTTTTGTATCTTATGTATGACCTTAACCAATTGACCGTGAATCGAACTGTTATACAGGAAAAAATCTAATCAGTGCACGAATTTTGATATTGTGTTCGTTAAAGTAAATAATAGTCACGTCTAATTTTCTCCCTTTTAATTAACCACTATTTAACATCAGAGAGTGTTTATTGTGTACTGAATCTAGTGTTTCAGCAAACGTATGTAGGACGTATGACATCGGTAAATTCGTACAATTCTTCGCGTACAGTATGTCCGGTGCGTGCGGACTGCGGACAAAGTGGACATTCACTTAAAGGAGGAAAAAGGTGTCTATAAATATGTTGCTACTTATGAGATTATCCTACAGTACCCGAGAGTTTGTTTCATACCAAGTCGCGTACGTAAGGACTGTTGTAGATATTTACCAATGAATGCCAGTACGAGGGACGATGATGCATGTTGTGGAAACAGAGGTGAGATGCTGCGCCAACCGAGTGCTTCGTACATCTGTCCGTTTGATGATATCAGAAAATTGTACGGCAACGTAACTCGGCTACCTTCAGTTTTGTTCTAGAAGCAAAAAATGAAGTAAGGTGGTAAGCAGGCTTCGATCTGCGATGCTTAGATTTAACAACTATAATATTATAAAACAACAATTTGACGATATTAAATATTTCATAAATAAATTCAATATCATCAAGTATGACTCGTCAATTAATGATTAGGAAAATGGTCATGTATCACATTATCAATTTTCAAGCTGAGTACACACTATAGCAGTGTTTCCCAAAGTTGACCGGCTTCAGACCTGTCTCACTCCGATATTGAGACCCAAGCCCCCAAGCTTTAACTTTTCTTAGTTTTTCTAACTATACTTTTATTAGTTGTTAATACTCGTTACAAATCAGTGTGCGAATATGTGTAACATTAGTAAATACAAGAGATTGGGTGACACGGAGTTAAGTGCATAAAGCGTGCGAAATAGAAAGGAATTTCATAAATCAAAGTGGGAGACTGCCGCAATTTTAGCATTGAGCATTTATTTGCTGAAATTTTAAATAAAATATAATGAAATCGGTTTATTCTATTAAGTTTTGTCTTAGATAGTACCTACTATCCTATATATCCTACCTACTAGAAGAACTTCACGTGGATCAATAGTCTGTCGTGTGCACTCATTTCAAATAAAGGTTTCCAATTCGCTACCATGAGTTTCGATTGCTCTGTGTATTGTAGAATAAGATTTATAATTTAAGTAGTGTTCGTTCCCTCAATTTGTATCCGGTGATACGCAGCATTAAGTTAAAATATTTGTTATATATATCACTAAAAATAAACTATATTATTATGAAAACAAAAACATCACAAAGACGATATGAACAGCCTTTAATATGTGTATTATTTTTCAAGTTAAGCCTGTTTTTAATGCAAAAAAAAGCAGCATATAAAAGAACACACATAAAAAGAAAAAATAGAATTTATAATCATTGTTATCAGACAGCACACAACCACAAGCAAGTGAATCTGGGTTCGTGGTGTAACATTATCTGAATAAAACATGAAACATGCCCCTGAACTATGAAACTAAACGCCACAAAGCGTATTGTTTACTATCAAGTGATAAATAACAGGTATGATAATAATTAGTATGACTTTAATTACATTTTGATATAACATTACATTACATTTTGAGTTATTTGGCTGCAAAAATAATAGCGAACTTTCAAATAAGTAATAACTATATATATATATTACATTTTTTGCTAGTTTCAAGCTCTAATAGCAGAATTGCTATTTTGTCCAAATAGTTTACTAAATTTTAGTACTTTCCTGATTCGTCCAGTATATAGTTCAAATAAAATTCATTTTCAAACCAAATTACATCAAAAATCGTTCCGCACTTTTTGCATGAAAGAATTACATACTCACAAACTTTACGTCTAAAATTGACAAAAACCATAACTCATACTCACACGATTTTACGAGTATTATAAGCTAAAAATACTCGTGCAATGTCGCACACAATAATGTTTAATGATTAATGCTTAACGCTTTCGGAGCGTTAGAGGGTCGATCAAATTAAACATTTACTGTCTTTTTTAATTTAATCAGTACACAAACAGAAAAATACAGATGTATCAGTATTATCATTATCTTATAACAATGCAGCGTGTCAAGTTGTATTTCCAAGTTGCACATAACATTAAAAAAGAAAATTAAGGCAAACATTGTTAATTTGAGTGGGTTCGAAATTTGCATTTGACTGAACTTTTAATGCTGAGCAGAGCTGTGTTGGACGCTGTATTTTGGTTTACATTAAATAGGCTACGAAACTAGTGCAAAAATAAAAAAAATAACCTTATCTACGAGAAAGCTATTTCAACTATATGCCAGGTTATTATTTATGCGGGCGAAGTTACGTGAGAACAGCTATCGAATAATATGTTAAGTTTCAACATCAAATTTGATAAAAAAAATAAGCAAACTGATACCGCATTCATTATGGGTTTTTTAAATATACATTAAGTAATAGATATCAAATATAAATAATTATCTAGTTTATCTTTATAAAAGAAGGAAGTGTTTTGCTGGCTATATTTATTAGATTAGCCACTAGGTATGGATATAAGGGCACCACAACAACCAAGCATAAGATGGAATATATCATTTTCTACATTACTCGAGCGAGAATCAAAACCGGGTCTTCAGATAAACTACAAACAACACAGCAATTATGATGGATATATACATAATTCTCTAAATATATCGTTACGTTATACGTGTTAACTATAAGATTTAAATAAATAATTAACTCAAGAGAAAACGAAACAAAATCAACGTGCTAAAAATGAGATAAATAAGGTCAACTGATGGCGTTTTACGCTAAATCGAATGTGACTATTTCTATTACTGTGAAAGTTCTCAATCAATAACCGTGTTACAAAGTTACTAGCATATTAAGCTATTTTTCCAAAAATAAAGGAGTTCAATAACGAGAAGATAATAATAAATACCTGAAAATCCTGGCGGTGGTCCTACACAAATTATATAGTTTTCTCATTTTTATTTTCTTATTCAAAATCAATTAAAAGTTAATTATTTCTGGTTAAGCGACCTCTTAAATTGTCATAAAGATTATAGATACGCACCAGCATGTTTTGCAGCAGTTCCGTGCAGGTATCTATAGTGTAGCACTGTTCAGTTTCGGTGTGTACCACGATCACCTGGCTGGCCATACGGGGATACATCGACAGCCTCGGGGATTCCCCACCAGCCCACTGTAAACGGCTGACATATTGCAACGGCATATCCACAGGCGGTAGCACATTTTCTGAAATATTTTGTTAATAAATCCTGTCATTTAAATAGAGAAAAACATTAATGATAATAAGTCAAGTGAAAGTAATTGGCACTCAAAAAGTGTACTTAAGACAGCCTTAACAAATTCATTTCATAACATTCAAATATGTGATCAGTAAACTCTAGATAGATAAAGAGTTTTAGAGTTGAATACTCCCGCTTCTTCCTGAAACAAACATCACTATCCTCATTATAATTTTACTAACCTGCTCTACTTTGCAATATGAGTAGATAGATTCCAATCACAACTCCCGATAACAATATTATTATAAGGAATGACACAATTACTGTAGTCAGAGGACTTCGCTGAGCAGTCTCTAAAGGAGGGAATCTGCGCAAGAGTGGAGTATCCTCCGTTATACTCGGTTCACCTAATTCTTCACTTTGATGATATGAACTATGGCGAGAATCATGGTCTGAAATATCATCAAATAACTTTATTTAATATCTAGCATTGGACATATTTTATTTACAAATGACTATGACAGAGGAGTTTTAAGCTATGTCTAATTGAATGTTAACGTTAAAAGCCTTAACTCACGATAGAATTAAATAAATATCCACAAAGAAAACATTACTAGATAGTCCGACCAGTTGAATTTCCACCATTCTATTATAGTTTACTGGGTGTGATTTATTATAAAATACAAGATAGCGACATTTTTTTTTTGTAAAAAGAAACACCAGTGGAGCGCGCTATCACGAATAAACTAAACGCGATCAAGTGTTAGCGGAGCAATGCAATCGGTAAATGATATTGCGGTTAATCAACATTAGTATTAATTACATTATGAATGAAACAGATTTCGCGTTGGACGCGTCTGTCTGCGACATTTATTATTGTAATCGAGAGCGGAACGTAATAGGTATTTATCTATTCATCAGGGGCTTTTTCCTGCTTTTGATTCGTTACGATAAATATTTCCTATGAAAATACGCACTACTAATAAAAAATAGTTATATTTATTTGTTGCAGTTGTGTTTTTCTTTGTTAACTTAAAGTGTACTACCATAGTGGTCCTACCATGAGCTTAAGAGTGGGCTCATAGGTAAAAAAGAGGCATATAAGATGAAAACAAATCCATCTTTGCTGTACTAATACTTTTATAGTGTCGTTTTTGACGATAATTTGCATATATGAGCTCTTAGTGTAAGTTTTTCTGACATTTACGTTCACCGTCGATCGTGAGCGTGCTAAGATTTTAGTATGGAATCCGGTACAGCGCCCCTTGCGGTAACTACTAAGAACTATAATTCTCTATACAAATTTTTAACGCGCTCACTAGTGAAAACTTGCACTTACCAGTATGATACAGAGAATGGTCAAAATTTATATTTTGATTAAGTGATCCAAATTGGTTCAATTAATATAAAATTTCTAATTGAAATATCGGTCAGACTGGCGACTCGTGAATTGCCATTGTTTGATTAATGACATATGTTGTTTTTATTTAAAAAAATAAGTTTATTTTCGAGATCATCGCCATCTTTCATTCATTTCATTTTCATTTTACATGTAGAAATTAATTTATTCACATAACATTAGAAGGATTGTGCGAAATGCGCAGATAGGCCATTAATAAAAGAAAAAGAAGTTTATTTTCTGTCCATTAAGCCATACCAAAGAGTAAATGTATACCCGTACACGGCAGTGAGGGACTGTAAATAGGGATGAAACGATACCACCTAGGAATCGATACTTACTTGTATTGAATAGTTTTAAAATGCCTCCGCATTATCGTCATTTTTATAGCAGATTTGATACTATTGATGATCAATACTCTCTTTTTTTTGGAAGAAAGAGAAGCAGGTCGAGGTACAAAAAGTGATACATATAGTTATTCAAAATTTTGTTGAAAATGGATTTGTTCTTATCTTCATTTCATTAAAAATGTTTTTATCTGTGATTATGAGAATCAACACATTATTAAAATATGATTAAAATAAACTAATTGGATGCTCATTATATCAGAAAATAATTGATCTGATGTCACAATACGTGTTAATTAAATACCAAATCTATGGTGGTATTTGTTTATCATTTATAACTATAATATAAAAGCAAATAGAAAATCTCCTATATAGTCAACACTAGCAAAAATGTTATTAATAACTGTATATAAAAATAATAATTTATTCCTGTAAACCGAAAATTATAGTCTTCTACAACTATAATTGAACAACATATCTTAAATTATAAACCAGTTGTCAGTCATTATCGAAGGCAAAATACCCTAAATGTAAGCCATTTACCACAGCATTTGACACTGAAGCAAATGCATGCAGATTTTAAAATAAACAATCCAGATTTTTATTGTGGTGTAAAGTTTATCAATAAACAATTAAAAGACTTCATATTTTATTTAATATGCCAAAAGACGAGAAGTGAAAAAGTATTAAAATATCAGAAATTCAACATTATCGTAACTGGCCTAAGAAAAGAGGGCTGTTCGTTTTGGTGAATCTCAGGGAGTTAACCAAGCAAAAAAGCATGACATCATTTCCAAATTAATACTGTTAATGCCAGTGTTGAGTAAATGTTTTTGGTCCAATTTACCTATAAATAACCAATCAATGGATTTGTCATTTTTGATCAAATGGAAACTGATCTTGATATATATTGCCTTTTTGTACTTATATTTTATTTATTACTTTTGTAAGTTGTAGACAAATCAACTGAAAGTTACATCAGAGCTCTTACTAGCGTTTGGTCTGGACAAGCTGATTTTTAGCTAATATGTTAAACCAGATCAAAATATAGTAAGAGAACTTACTAGGTCTGAAATGGTTATGGTAGTAAATTTTTACTTGGACATTTTATTGTCAAAACTATTTAGCTCACAAAATTTGTCACATAAAAATCTTTAGACAAATAATTTATATATCAAATTAATAGTTGTAAACCACTCCTTCTTGTAAACAATAATTTCACAACAGTCTTAAATAGTTTAAAATAGCTGCCCTAAAAAGGGTTTTTTGCTCTCCTGTAAAATTTAGTCCAAAACAGTTACTAGGATTTAATCAAATCAAATCAAAATTATCTATTTAGTCTAGGCTGTTACAAGCACTTGTCATAGTCCAGAGCTACGCCATAACTGAACTAAACTGAGACAGCCGAAAGTATGAGATGAGCATAATATAAATCTATGATTCCTTTAGGGCTCTAAAGGCCTAACCCCTATTTGGTTGAAAAGGGGTCCATAACTGACATTCAGTTAAATATGGATTAAACTAATATTGCCTTATTATGGGTATTTTAATATTGACAATAATACCCAATTGGAATTAATTTAATTATTGTTTTCAAATATATTATTTGCATTTGTCTATTGCGTGGGTCTAATTTGTTTCTCATCATTAGCCATTTTACATCTCCACTGCAGGGGCTCAGGCCTTCCTTATGGATGGGGAAGCGTATCCCCATTATAAGGAATATAATAAGATTAACTGATTTATGTATGAGCTAAGTGCAATCAATCAAATTGTATATAAGAAATCGATTTTGCACAATAAAGCGTGTTCTGCCTTCGAATGTTCTCCGAGTTTCTCCGAACCAAGTGTTTTATTCGAGACCTCTGCTACCTGCTCGCTTTCAAATCCAGCTACAGTCCATCTGCTACAACACCCAACAATTTTAGAGCAACAAAAAATGGCTATTTTATTCATTTTGCAAACCAGGATAAATTACTGAATGCTTTGAGGAAATTCCAATTTATTATTTATTATAGACTATCATTTGTGAAATTTAAAGTGGTTTACCTTTTCATATACAATATTATACAAGTACAGGATTAAAACATTTTGCAAACAGGTGGCAATAACTTTATGACTGAAATATAATTTAAAAAACTATTCATATCTAATACTCTAAATAAAATGAAGACTTGAAAATGCAGTTTGACCAAATCACCATGTTGCTCTTATAGGCGGTAACAGAACCATCACATAGTTTTGTATTGTTTCAAGTTTGATAATTTTAACATAAAAAAATATTAACTCCCAAATCTTCTTTAACTAATAGAAAGTTAACTATTGTCTACTTAACATTCATAAAATGACATCTTCGATAAAATTGAATAAAGTACAAACTATTTCAATATTGTTTCCATGTCTTATATTCTAAATACTTACTGATTGGTGATATTATTGGTTGCATTGTAAATTTTCATGCCACAATGTGATTATATTTAATTTAAATTAAAAATAAGTCCACCACAGCACTATAATATAGGGATAATTTGATCCTTACACATTTCGTGAATATAAACATATTTTTTGCTTCATAACATATGTAATATTGTACTGCCTGTAATGGGTAAATAAATTGTACTTGAATAATGATAATCAGTCTTTGTTTGGTTCACAACAAAGGAAAATAGAGCCAAGGGTTGATTTTTATATAATTCCCGCACAATTAAAAAAATTCGTTATCAAAAAAAGTAGACGTCAGAATAAAGTTTAAAATTCTTATTAACTATAAATATTTTATGCAACACATTTACTAGTGTAATTAAATAAAATATTACACAAAAATCAGCTGACAAGCAGTCACACAGCTCACTGACACTGACATTGCATTGACATGCGTCTTGTCATGGCTAGAGGTGGAAATAACTGCTTAAAATTTTTAAGCGTTGTTACGTTGTACTATTTTTAATAAGCGTTTTTAAAAACTGCTTATTGCTTAAACGCTTTTTTCAACTGACTTTTGGAAATTGTTATTGCAACGTTGTGTTATCATTACATAGTATAAAACTATGTCGCTTTCTCTGTCCCTATATCCCTATGTATGCTTAAATCTTTAAAACTACGCAACGGATTTTGATGAGGTATCTTTTTCAAAGATAGGGTAATTCAAAAGGAAGGTTTTTATGTATAATACAAGACCACAATACTATTACCGTTTCACGACATTTTATTTGCTTATAACTAATCTTATAATATTATAACTAATGCAGCTCAATTATATTTAGAATGTTTAATATTAAAAACTTATTTACATTGTCTATTTAGGAAGTTAACAAAAATCATTACTTAAGTAGCAATTTATTTACGCATACAAATCAACTTACGCACTAATTAACATTCAACACAGCGTGCACTTTCTTCACCAACGAAAAGCATACTGCTTTTTTAGGTTCCGTTTAAAAAACGTTTGGATAAATCACGCGTTATAGTATAATACAGTGCATTTTATGTAAAATGCTGCCCTTTAATAGAAAAAATGATTGAAGCTAGTAGTTATATCTTAATAGATGGTGGGACGTACTATAAGCATTAGCATACTTTTCTTCTAAGTGAAAAAGCGCTTTTGCACTTGTTTAAAAAAGTATGCTTAATTAAGTGCTTTTCGTTTAAACGTCCATCTCTAGTCATGGCAGTCGATGTTAGGTTGACTTATATTTTTACTTAGCTGTGGTGGCAAAGGATCTTTGATCATTTAGCCATATTTGTCTCACCGAACACAACAAAAGAATGTTCCTCATTCTTTTATAAATCACCCTCAATATTTAAGAATAAAAGAATAAGTTCTTAGTCACGTTCCTTTTTTTAAACGTTTTTGCACAAAACTTTGATATTATTGATCACAGAAACATGTTTATATATAATTTGTTATTGACCATTATTGATAAGATACTATTACATAAATCAAAATGGATCAAGATAATAAGTTTCCTACCTGTGCACGCGAATAAAACTGAATTTAGTATTTCAGTATTAAACACTTTTTGGAAAATCAAGTAGTCAGGGGAAAATTGATTTTTAAGTGATATTAACAATTTTGTTTTTTGTTCTTATACCTTGAACTATTTCTGTAGTTTGTAAAAGCACATCGAGGCATTTATTCGACTTTTTCCCACTGAATTTCACGCATGTTTTTATTCTTAGCATAAAAGCCAAATTGTGTGTATGCACCTGCGTTGTTTGAAGTTTGATTCTGACCATGAATATAATATATATATTTTTTTGCAACAGTGCCCTCTAAAGAGCATAAAGCAAGAAATTAAAAAATATTATTCAATCATTCCGTTTAGGGTATATATCAAATGAAAGGGCTTAATAAGCACATTTTCAATATATAATTTACATGTGCATATATATATTTGAAATATTTAATTTTAGTTTTTAAACTTATTTTTTTTATATTATAAAGTTAATTTGATGTCTCTATTAGCTTCTTCTTATTGATATGCTACTCCTATTGGAGATTAGACAGCATAATGGATATCTTTATTTATGAGACTATGCTCGGAACAGGGATGATGTGGTACTCCGTCCAAACCAATCCTTTATCTTCTTAAGCCAAGAATGTAGCTTTCTTTTACCACTGCGTTGCTCTTTAATTTTCCCCTAAATTATGAGATGAAGAACTCTGTATTTGTTATTCCTCATAACATGGCTAAAATAATAGAATTTGCGTCACTTGATGGTGTCAATGAGCTCGAGATCTTTGCCCATTCTTTGGAGTACTGATACGTTGGTCACCTTGTCACGATACGAGATCTTTAGAATTGCACGGTACACCCACATTTCGAAGTATTAAACGCATTTTGTGGTAGTGTTCAAAACTCGACTCCATACAACAGAACTGAGTAAATGTAGCATCGAACTATACGCATTCGGAGTCCGAGATTTAGATTCCTGTTGCATAGGACCTTGCTCATTCTGAAAAATTCGATTCTTGCCGTCTCTATACGAATTCTCTATTAGCACATAAGATTATTTTTTCCTTTTATTGCTAAATACTTTAGCAAAAATTCAAAATTTTTGCAAAAGTATTTGCAAAAATTATTATTAGAGTATTTATTGTTACGTCGTCAAAGTCGTAAATGTATTAATGTAATGTAATCATATTGTTATTGTTTATATTTTTCCACGTATGCAAAGAACTATTTACTTTTATTTAAAAAATGAATCATTTATTAAAAGTCAGATGATTTGCAATATTTTTTAAAAATTTCGTTAAAATTCGTGTTAATATTTTCATGTCATTGGCTAATTTAACCCGGTAAATTAGTCACTGTTATTATATTTCTGTAGAAGGCTTTTTATACTTTTTAAACATATCAAATATTTTCATATTTAATATTAGGGGTTGGGTTTCTTCTCAATTTATATGAAATTCAAAACATTTTTTAAATTTTAGATTTAATTAAAGTATGAAGGTACCATTTTGTTCGATAATTTTTTGTCATCTTGTCTACCTACAAGATGACAAAAACATCCCATTGCTATGAAAATTTTGGGGCTTTTGATTAAAAAACGGCGATAAGTGGTTTAAGCAGTATAAGTGATTTTATTATCCTTATCATAGTTAAGCCGCTTATCATAGTTAATTTAATTAAACTTGGGAGGTTCAACCTTCATCCAACGATTGCACACTAACCAATAACTATAGAACGACGACCTAATAATAAAAATTACTACGTGTTCAAAGTTTCAAAATAAGTATAATACTGCATAGCCTAACAAGGGATCTACAGGTCTTCGGAAGGGCCTCCGCTAAGTCGATCAAAAAAGTAAACGGCACGGCCGTACCATTCCTTTCTAGAAACCATTCTGGCCATTTTTGACCACCTGTTATTTCGATGTGGAGTAAAATACAGGTTTAAAATTTCAGTGACCAAGAGGGCAGCACACGATGAAGCACATTTCAAAATAACATTAAATTGAATACTTTAAGAATTATTGCAAATTAAAAATCCATAATTTTCTAAGGTAATTCTGGCAGACCCAAATACTCCAAATGTTGAACACAGTTATTATTTAACAAAAGAACAATATTATTTAGCAGTATTTACATGCGATCAAGCTGTACAATCTATTAGTCAAGCGTATGTGGCACTTCCGGAGCGATATACTCAAACTGTTTATAACTATCTACCTAATCAATGTCAACATTGGTTGTATTCTGAATATAATAAACTTATTGTAGATTTATTCACCGAGTATAGAAAACTTTTAAAAATGTGAAGAAAATTTATAAAATTGTCAACAGAGACAGATAATGATCTTTGAGGAAGCCCATAACGGAGGCTCAATATATAATACAAGTAAAGAAAAATTGGAGAACTATTTACCTACAAAAAGAAATGAGATCTCATGCAACATATAACATGTACAAAAATGCACAAGTCTCACAATACAAAAAGTTATGAAATCGACGTAAACCAAGTCGATTAAATCAGAACTTATATTTCTGTGGGAGCAGAGAGAGAGCATTTTTGTACATGCTATCTGTGGTCAGTTTTACAATAAGTATAATACACAGCTTAGCTAGGGATCTATCTTTCTACGGAAGTGCCCCCGCCAAGACGAGCAAAAAATTAAACAGGGCATGGCCGTAGCATCCCTTTCCTGAAACCAATCTGCCCATTTTTGACACCCTGTAACTTCGTTGTGGAGTAATATAAATGTTTTTGATGGAATTTAAATTCTAGAACTACTTTCTTCATTTTCATTTTTGACACTATTAAAACTCTTTTATCGGTCAGGAATATTAGAACATTACACTTTAAAACTATATGACTATAATAGATATTAGTACTTATATAATATTTGTATGTACGAGTAGGTACTACTACCCTACTTACTTACAAGTTATGACTTAATTATTATAATCTTGCATCGCTTTCTTTGTTACATAAATCAGTAAATTATAATGCTTATGGCAATGTGCGTAACATTACGTGTCAGAAGTAAGTTGGACGCATTTAAAATTGTGATCAATGGCACACTTCTGTATATTGTATGCGTATCACATTCGCATCCATATTTTATTGTTTCTTTAAACCCGTGTCGTCAAATGTGCGGTCGCTTTGCCAATATTTTTATTTTTATCAACTAATTAATATTGTACTTAGGTATCTTTGAAGTCAAATATTTGAGAAAGTCCGAATTCACGTAATTTAGTAAACTAATCTATTGATTTTTTTTTTTGTATTGAAACACAAAACCAAATTAATTGATTATACGTGTCTCAGATATTCTATACCTATGTCATTTCGAAACTTACTTCACTTATGCCACGAAACGTGCCTTTGCCTTTAAAGGTTGAGCGGATACCGCTTTTTGAAGTGAATTGGACACTTGAGTGCATTCTAAATTGGGTTTGAATTTTTACAGAATCTCAGGGCAGATTTCGTAGCAACACATCCCATTACTTTATATGTAGTATTCTCTGTACTATATTACCTATATAAATTACTCTCTCATTTCTAAATTAACTCATTGATGTTCGTAATAGATGTGTTTGTTTAAACTGTTTTTTTTTTTTTAATAATTCTTCAACATTTTTAATACTTCGGCCACTTTATGGCTATATGTTAAAACTTCATGATAAAAAGCGAACCTAGGAAGTATAGTTGGGCGTCCCTGTCCGAATTGCAAATCACATTTAACTATATAAGGCTTTATTTGATCGAGTGTCACATCAGTTTATTTATAGGCTAATAAAGGAAGACACAAAATAAATACACATCTATCGTACGAACCAAAGGTTTTTTTTATAAAAAATGATTTTAAAAGCTCTGGTCAGTTCTGTCTCTAAAAATGCACTTCGATTTTTAGTTATACAAAACTTAATACATATTTTGCTACTTTACGAGTCATTACAAAACTTTTTTACTACTTAATTTATACCTTTATATGCTAAGAAATTATTAAAATTAATAGTTTATTAATTTTATTATAAAAATGTCTATTTCTCTAATATTCAGTATTGATTTTCAGATTACGATTTGTTTGATTTTTGTCTATGAAGTACACTCATTATACCACGACAGAGTAGATATTATAGATGATAGTGACACGACTACAGTGAAAATAGACCAGCAAACAGTAGAAGTACTCGCAACGGTGCCGCCGACGGACACAGATCCCGTGATGTAAGTATGAAATTATTAAAAAATTTCAGAGTAGGTATGTAAAATCTAGCATTTTAATAATTGTTATTTAAAGATCAGAACGATATCGCAATGTCATAGAATGACCTTAGTGTGCTATTATTATTTTATTAATTGTTTTTTTCTTTGTCAACCCTCCAAACGTGTTGGGTTCATCTATAATAAGATAATGATTTTACCACCTTGGTAATATGGTAATATAGCGTATCGGTGGCATAGAAACGAATTAAAGGAGAAGATGTCCTATTTACCATTTTTCGGAGTTGGCATCTACATATATTATAGTCTATACTTATATTATGAAGATTGTTTGCTTTTTTTTCGTATTGAATCGGCCTCGACATTTCTGGGAAGATTTCATACGCATCATATGCGAAAGACATAGGTTATAATTTACGCGAAGTCGCGGGAGCAAGGTTACAATTTGGAGAGTGAAACCTTTATCCTTGACCTATTTCACAATCATGGAAATAAGTGAGAATTTGCTAAAGTATTTTGTTGCATTTAAAATACCACAACTTGATAAGATATGCCTTGGGAATTGGTGAAGCCGATCATAGGTGGGTGACCAAAAATTACTCTTTCGTATTCAAAACTCCCACTATCCCGCACTGAGGAATAAGGCAATTTCTGAAAAAGACTTGAATTCCAATAATGAGGATGATACAAGTAGCAAATCAGCATAAACAGCTAATTTAGTGGTATTTTTTTTTATAATAGCGAACGTTCATCACATTACCAGCATTTGGATCCAACATATCATGGTTTCTGGAAGAAGAAATTTGTTTGGAGACCTCGTTGGGTGAAGACTTGGAATGAAAAGAAGATCTATGTTGCTGTCTGGAAGAAGATGTGGGCACCGGCAATGTTGAAGGAATGGGTGCCAGTTCCCAAACCGCCCCCGGGCTGGTTAAAGCACGGATTAGGTCATGCGCATCAAACTTTTTATGTTAAAGCTCATCCACATTGACTACAGTATTGAACTTTTAGAATAGTACCTAGTTGTAACGGTAACTTATTCGGAGTGCTGATCACTAGTCGGCGCATCGCTAGCAAGTGCTTGTAAGAATGGAGATCTGTGACCTATTTTTTCTAATACGCGTTGTAGATTTCAAATAAACAAAATATATATAAATAAAAAATCACCGCATTCAACTGATAAAATAGTATTTGAAATCTCAATTTCTTTACACAAGGAATCGTAAAGCGGCTGTTATATAATAATTAAAGCCTATTAGTAAGGACTGATTATTATCATACAAGAAAAATATGTAATTAGTCCACAATTTTTCATGTCAAAAAGGCGTAAAATGTATTGCCTATCCCTGACTATCTTATTATGTCTGGCTATGAGATAGACAAGGACATTAGAACTTCACCTCGGTAAGTTTGTGTGTTCTTAATTTGACTGCTACTTTGATAAAATATAAAATGCCAGATTGGGTTAGCCAAAATAATTAAAATCATTAAAAATGCTTAAAAATACACTTTATCCCTGGTAGATACTCTGAGATGGGACACGAACCCATGACCTTTCGCAATCTGAGCGACAATGGATTTTTAAAACATTTTTCATTAGAATATTTTCATTATAGCATTGAAATATAATACTCGTAATTAAAACAAATTTTCATCTTCATCGAAAGTTTACATATTTGTAAAAATATTTCTTTCGGCTGTTTGGGTGGATTGCCTGAACATTGATGAAAAAACGCTCTGTAGTACCTACTTAGCGAAAAGTAACAAGTGCTTGAAAGCTTCAAAGATTCATTAGTCCTATTAGGTCTTGGATAGCTTAATGGTTAGAGCAGTAGCCCAGATTGCGAAAGGTCATGGGTTCGTGTCCCATCTGAGAGTGCCAGGGACAAAGTGGATTTTTTAATTATTTTTCATAAAAAATATTTATCAGTATAGCATTGTGATTGCAAAATTGATGAAATATAATAATTAATAAAATGTTAGATGCTTGCAAGTTGCAAAATATTTAATTTAATATGATTTTATAGGTACTCATCAGTAAATTTTCATGTTACCATTGAATGTGTTACAAACCATGCTCAAAGTAAGCTATTTTTATTTAATAAGCACTGAATTGTTTATAATACCTAAGTCATAATTGTGATTTAGTATGCGAAATGGAAGACCTAATTTTATCTACCATTTTATGCTTTTTTCTGTTGCAATATTGATAGAAAGAATTAATTTACTTTGCTGCCGATTCAAAGTGAAAATGACTTTAAGTAATCTTATGTGTAGACAAAGAAAAATTATTTGATTATTTTATGAAATTATAATTAAATTAATTGTAACTATGCAAATTTTAACGATAAATAAACTTTTTTTTTATACTTCATTTGCGCGATGGAGCGTCCGTTCGTGTTTAGAAAGTCACTAATTATCACATTTTTTTTAATTTTTTCAAATGTTGTTTAATAAATTTATTAACGTGAATTGTTTTTTCGATTTTTGAGACAAAAAATTGAGTTTTTATAAAATAAATAACTATTTTTTTTAACAAAAGTAGAATAATCAGTATCGATCCACAGCTAATGAGCATTCACAGCTAACTAGCGGAATTCCTTTTATACTCGACTGCAAAGAAAAGGTTATACTTATATATACGTAACAATTTTCATTATCTCATATCTTCAGAACCACTGAATGGATTTAGACAATTGAAGTATCGTTAGATTTGTCTACCGATACTTCAATTGTCTAAATCTGTTAGATAACCTTAAAAATCAAATATGTCGGCTGTGCGTCGCCATTATATTTCATGTCTTTTTTGCAAATACTATAATATAGGTATCAAATTAAAGGGCTCAATATATGGGTTCTATAACCTATATTATTCTAATGGATTCCAGAAAGTTATATCATGATTACCATTACCGTAATACTAATAAAAATAATACAATGATAAAGTTTAAAAATATGGACGTCGTTCTTTCGATTTCTGAACTAACCTGGTAATTTGGCTAAATAAAAACACAAATGAAATTATAATTGCCTGCCTGCGTTGGAGTTTACACTCTTTAAACCATTTATAGATGTAGGTACCTATGGATCTTCTATGGCAAGCAATTTTACACTGGCATGTTTAGTCATCACTGTGCTTGTAGATGTTCTAATAAGTAAGTTTATAAATTAAAAATTAAATATAAGTTAAATAAGTATATTGTTTCTAGTCTAAAAGCTAAATATATTAATATTATAAGACTACAGAGATCGTCATATGTAAATGAGTCATAGCCTTTTCCACCAGAGATAGACACTTAGAATTTAGCATTCAAGACTCTCGGCCACGTAGGTTGTAAAAAATAGACGTCCCGAGGATTGAGCTTAACTATAGTGAAGTGATACCTAGTGCGGATAAATGGGTGTTAATATAGTTTAATGACTTAGATGCTAATGACCACTACAACACGATCAAGTGCGCAATTGGAAGACCGATATTGTAAATTTTGATCACCTTTCTGATGTTAGAGAAAGTGGCTTGCCTTTCGTAATCACATATCGAAATACATTGACTCATCATGCAATATTATCTTGTCATAGGTAAAAAATCCATGGCTCGTCATTGCACAGTGAATATTATGAAGCGGTCTGCGAAGACCGAGGCTAAACCCAAAGGATCTCTTTCCTGTTTGAGAAGCTACATCTTTACGCACCAATGACCTTTCATTGGTCTCATATGCATTGGCAATAGATAACGACTCTCTCTATCTACGCTCACACATTACAGATACATATAATTAACCAAATCTCCTCTGTGTGTCAATAAACAAAGAAATAAACAATGGTTAGTAAATTAGGATGCCGGATATTGTACTCAGTATTACTCATAGATAAATCTATGATATAACTAATAGTTATATAGCTCATTGGCTGGCTGAGAAACGACCTCTGCAGGGGGCCAATTCTACTAAATAAATTTTGTTTAAATCGAATCGAAAACGTATCGAAAACAGATCAAAGTTTTTTCATCGTGTATTAATATATAAATTGATAACTCTTTTTTAATTATGATAAAGGTGATGTTAGGCCGTGGTTATCTGCGTGTCCATGGTCGGCACAATATACACTGGCCATGTTACCAGCCAAACGAAATCCAGATTTTGTCGATTAATGCTGCTACAAAGCTTGTTATGTGAATGAATTCTGTATTGCTGGTGAAAAAGTTTCTCCACAATTTTCAATCTTGCAGGATTGATAATTGAATAAATAAGAAATACAGACATTATTTTTTAATCTATGACCCATAAACCTTCCTCGAAAATTTGTTCTATCTGCAGTGAAAATCGCATCGAGTGAAAACATATAAATTTCATGTAAAACCGGGCGGATCGCATATTTAGCTTAAAAACAGATTGTCATAATCATTTCCTGTAATAAGTTAACAGAGAAATAGTTGATTGAAACAAGTTAAATAAAGTTCATATCAACAACTGGTAAAATAATTATTTTTTATTTCCGTAGTAAAAGTGGTTTATTTTTAACGCGCACTTTCATTATAGGGCAAGTCACAAGTATTAACTTGAGACAATTATGTGCAATAGTGAACCACTAAACTATTCCACGGAAATAATAAAAAAACATTGTTGTGGGCTATTCCGATTTAAATGAAATTATTCCTAAAATATTGAACACCATTTTAGAAGGGCCTGAACACGCTGGTGTAGATGCAGTTCTGCCATTCTTTAACAAATATATATCAAAAAGATAAGGTGAAGACAAACTGGTACATTTAAAAGTTCTTTAGTACAAGATCCAAGAACCAATTACTTAAGAATGCAAACATTACAATACATTACATTAGACGGTTATTTTTAAAAATGAGGCGTAGAACAACCAGACTTTATGTTAAAATAATAATAATATTCTTTTATTAAAAATAATTAAGAAAATCGAATAGATAACAGGCAACCTTATTGCTACGTAACAATTTCTTCCAGGCAACCCATTATGAAATAAAAATATATGTGCAAGACAAAGTAATTAATACAATAAACATATTGAGTATTGAAAATTGTATTGATTATATATCTGAATAAAATATTGGTAATATAAGAAATAAAATAGAAGTGCGTGTCGGACTCATGCACGAAGGGTTTAAAAATATCACGTTTTTGTTTTCTACGAACTCGTAAACTTGTAAAACAAACTTAAGTGTGAAAGCTTTCCTTTTCACTTTGTTATATATATACATAGGTATTGCTGACGTAACACCTGAATTTTTACTAACGTCCGTTTAGTTGGTAGAGAGGGTAACACTTGACTTTAAGGGAAATTAGCTCTTTAAAGATTAATAAGTCACAAACGGTTTACTAAATCGAAAAACGGTCTTCCCATTGCAGTCAAATGTTAACCACTTTACCACTCTTTGATTAATGAAAACTGTGGATTATACCTAACGCTCTGAACAAGAAGTCGATTAAGTGCAACAACATCGATTGAAAGGATTCAAATAAAAAAAATAATACATTAACACAACAGTCATATTTTATTTCATTTCATTGGTACCGCATTATAACTAGAAGTAAAGCTTATAGTATAACAAATAATAATAAACAATAACAAAACAAAGCGTCAGTCGATCCAGACTGAAACCCTTACCACAACAAGATTCTATTAATTAATTGTATGTTTAATTCAGACTGGTATCAGCATAGTCTCAATATTTACACACTCACTTAAAAGCTTTCCCTAATAACGAACATTGAAATATCTTTGTTTGTAAAGACATTTTTATGACTGAGTTTTCACAGCAAACATTATCATCGTTGTAAATCAAGAAACAATCGCATAGGCAGAGCACTGTGTTCGCATTGCATATTATATTTTAAATTTTAGGGAATTTAAATTACCTACATCGTCTGCCATCATGCGAATGTCTCCTCATCTTGAATGATGAAAGTTCTGCAGCATCATCGCAGTCTTATTTTTATATGGCATATCTCCGATATATCTGAGCGAATTCCAATATATTCTCTGAACTTCGTCAGATTAACATATTACTGATAATTTAATTTAAAGCTTATTAATTTATAGCAGATTATTTTGGAAATTGCCATGTCGATTGTTCAGATTGCTTAGGTGCAGTCTGCTGTGGTGCTGGTTTAACTACCTCAGTCTTTTGACTCGCTGATAAATTATTGTCACTTCGATCCCAGCCGTGGGATTCGTGTACATGTTCATGGTGATCTGGTGACGGGAACCATTCTGAAATCCATACTGGTCTCCAAATCTTTTTCACGCCTGGCACCCAAATCTCTTTCCAATCTGGCACCCAAATTTGCTTCCAAGCTTCTTTCCACTCTAATTTCTTATCTGGTACCCATATTAACTTTTTGGACGGTTTCCAAATTTGTTGCCAAGCTTCTTTCCATACTAATTTCTTATCATCAATCCAAATTTGTTTCTTTTCGGTTTTCCAAATCTGTTTCCACTCATCCTTCCAGACAAGTTTCTTGTCTGGAATCCATATTTGCTTTTTGGCAGGCTTCCAGTATTTCTTCCATACAGGTTTCCAAACCAACTTCTTTCGCCATAAGTCATGAGAAGTATATTCCCAGCCATCGTGATCTTTACCTAAATATTTTTCGCCAGGAACTCCTTCCTTAACCCATTCAGGGACCCAATGTTTTTTCCAAGCTGGTACCTTAATATCTTTCCATCCCGGCACAACAATGTCTTTATAAACGGGAACTGTGATCTTTTTCCAATCTGGCACTTTTATTTCCTTCCAGGCTGGGACTTTAATGGGCTTCCATTCTGGCTTGTGAATCTTTTTCCAATCGGGCACTTTGATTTCTTTCCATACTGGAATTTTTGTTGGTACCCATATTGGTTTCCAGATTTTTTTCCAAGATGGCTTCCAGATTTGTTTTTTCGCTGGCTTCCAAATTTTCTTCCATCCCGGTTTCCAAATGAGTTTCTTCTTCCAATAGCCTGGATCGTGATGATCATGATGTTCGTGATGATCATGATGTTCATGGTGATCATGATGTTCCTCGACATGGTGCTCATCTATATGAACATCATGATGTTCATTGTGATCAACAACCTCATGATGATTTCCATGAGAGTGAAGGTCGTCATGGTCTTGGAAAGGATTAACTAGGTCGCTAGGTGGTGCTGGATAGTCGTAGCCATCTCGTCTTTGTGCTGTGGTGGGATTTTGATCATTCTGTTTCAACTGTTGCTCTTCTTGTCGATTGCTTGGTAACAATGCCTTGCTTGATACTAGAGTAATTTGTACAATTACCGCTAAGGTAATCTGAAACAAGAAAAAATTGTCGTGTATAATTTCAATATATTAATAATTATTCGCGAAGCTTTATTAATAAATTTCGCAAAGCACTCCAGAAAAGTATTTTATAATCGCCGTGCTTCAAATAGCTAATATATCTCTTAACTTAAATTACAATCGTTGACAAACAATAACAACATTTAACGGAGAAATCATTTTTGATTAGTGATTTTATCATAATCAGCATCTTTATCTAAGACAATATAAACACTTGTTTTGGATTATGCAAGCCCACTGGCCATATCAGATCATTGCGTAACACTACTTAGGAAGATCACAAAAGGAAAGTGTACGTGAGCAGTGTAAGGCCAGCGGGGAGAACCGGATGACCTAGGCATCTGGTTCTAGGAAATGACTCGTAACAAGGAATCCTGTTCGAACACTACCGCTTAAAATCGGAAAAACAAAACGAGAAAGTGCTGCAGCAATCGAGATTAGGTACTTCATTTCCATATACTAAACAGTAAAACAACACAATCGTGAATACATAACGTACTCAATTTGGAAGAATACAAATAACTCGTTCTTGTAGTATGCATTATAGTCACCGCTTGTTTATATAATTGTAATTAGGATAAATGGAACTTTTCCATGTTAGTCACCAATGCCGAGTTTCGATTCGATTATCGAAATTCAGTCAAAAAGGATAAAGTTTTCAACCATCTTATGTAAAACACTAGTAACTGGCGAAAATTCAGCGTGAAAGTGCATCGAGTTGGTTAGCGTAGTTCACACGTCGACCTAATGCGTCGCGGACGCACGTCCGATAGTTGTTATGCAAGCGTTACGCAAGGGTTGTGGGACAATGCGGATTTCGATCGACACCCACTATTATAATGGCCATCCTTATACGCACTTGGGCCAAATTAATATTGACGTTTACAGAATTAATCGCGACCGATTTAAGACATGCTTGTTCCGGTTGTAAGATAAAAACAATATTACTGGTTGACGACATCACTAAATGCTTAGTGGATTTTTGTCGATTACGTGAATTAGTTTAGCATTACATAAGTAAATACGTCAGTACAAAAGAGAATATTTTATTATACTTATTATATGACATTATATTTCTTAGATTGTATAAGACGGATATTAATTAACGCGATAAAATTTCGGTAGTTAGGTTTTTCACCTACGTTTTGACCAGGTTACACCGGCCGTGGTCACGGGATGACTGTTTTTGCGTTGCTACGTCTCATCTTCTGAGAAACAGTCAGCCCGTGACCAGGGCCGGTGTAACCTAGTCGAAACGTCGGGAAATATAGGTAGGTGAAAAACCTAACTATCGAAATTTTATCGCGTTAATACCCGTCTTATACAATCTAATATAATGCAATATTCGTAAAACTTTCGAGTTTTAAAGGTTATTATATTTCTTATTTTTAGTGGTATTACCCAATTTAAGAGCATATTTGAAAACCGTTTGTATTTTGATAAGTACATATTTTTATAGATAAAAATGAAATCTCGAAGGATTCCATTGATAGATTAAACAAATATTTTCAGATATTTTAACAAAGGTCTACTGAAAATGTACTCTAATTTCTGTGATCAATTTTAAATGTAAACTTCAATAGATACGGCTCAAAATCTATTGAAGAGAAAATGTCTATAGTTCTATAGTAATCTAAAATTATGATAATGATGTTGATAATAATAGGTGTTTGATGTTGCTGTATAAATCATATTAATATAATATAAATCATTTTACTGGTCCGATTTTAAAAATTCTTTTAACTATGATCGTTATTATCACCTATAAAAATGTACATCTCACGAGTGACATACGTTAATTAATATGCGCAGGCGAAGTCGCGAGATAACAGTAGATGTATAACTGCTATGGATACCGGAAAATATTAACTTTGTTTCAACTAACCATCATACACTACTTATTCTCTATTTACAAAACAAAAATTTTTTCAATGACGAGCGTCGCAAGATGTATTAAAGTCGTTAGAGCAATTAAATCAGCACACAATAATGAGAAAATGGGAAACAGTGAAAAGATCGCTTTAACGATTCGCAAAAAGACAGTGCTATTCTTTTGTTATTAAACATTTTCCAAGTTCTTTCCCTTTCTTGGTGAAAATAGAAGTTTTCGAGGTTAACATAATTATTTAATATTTTGAACAAACGTTTATTTTAAAAGAAGATCTATCTATCTAACGTGTCTAAAACATATACATAAGAAAACAATAATAATTAATTAGGTATATAGGTGATTTTTAAAAAAGCAAATCCATTTTATTTAATCCTAATTGAATGAATTAGTATATATATATAAATATATAAATACTGGTTAGTAGTTTAGTTTTTTGAAAACTAGTTGCACGACTTGAGTAAATAAGCTAAGTCAAATTATTCATTTTAAACTGTATTAATGAAGGATATAATGATTACTATAATTATAGTAAAAATTAATCAAAGAGCACTTTCCCATAAATTATTAGGTAAAAATGTTATATTTATTAGTGCCTATTTGAGCATCTCCATGTGTAAGAAAATTTTGATCACCTTTTTTTTTTAAAAATATATGGATGATCATATCTTGTAGCTAACAAAAGAAGTCCAATTAAAAAAGTATTTGCCAAATTTTATAAATGTAGACAATTTTATTAAATAATATAATTTTGTAATTATTTAAATTGTTAATTTTATTTAATAGTTAATTTTATTTAATAGTTAATTTTATTTAATAGTTAATTTTATTCAAGAATTAAATCTAATAATAACACTTATACATATATAATATGTGACAATAGAATTCATTTGTAAAATTCAACGAGGTGGCAATTGTTGCCACTACTATGTGTTATTTTAAATCTTACCCTTTCCGGAATATCACTAATCAGATCAGATAACAAAAATCAAAACTGAACTTTGAAGTAACTAAAAACGACTACGAAACTCAAAAAAATACCCGAAATCGGTAACATTTGAATGAGAACACTGACCACTCGACTCCAGGACCCTCGCATGGTGGGCGGGGAATGTTCCACAAGCAGTGACGCCGGAACTGTTTCTACTCTATTATTTTATCTCTGGTTTACTCTTATATATGTACAGGCCCACCCCATCGAGCGAAGAGTGGGGAGCGCCTTGGCATTCACTTTCGCTGTTGGACACCCTAGCGTGGTCCATCCAGTGGGGGGCAGGAAGCGTGGGATTTAAAAAAACAACTGATCAGGTAACGGGAATAATCTAGAACCATAATTGTCGAAATATCTATCAACAACTTATCTGACATCTCATTTTGACGTCGACCCTATCTTTTATTTATTGAAGTGAAAGACCAACAATTACTATTCAATTAGCTTGCTCCCTATATAATAATGTAATATTATATAAATATCTTAAGCGTTTTTTTTTATTTTTATTCTAGAAAGAAATCTCTAAATAGACGAGAATTTATAAGATCTATTACTTCAAGTGTATCTTAATGTTTGTTTACATTCAGTTCGTACTTGTTCCATTCATTATGTCATTCGTTTTATTGCTTTGCTCGACTTTCTTTTTTATTTGGTTGTGTTCATTTCAGTGTCAAGTTTAAAACTCTTATCCAGTTTACAAGAAATTATTTAAAAAGAAACATATAGCTTTAATCTTTATTCTAAAAGTATGGGAGTGAAATAACTCTCAATTATTGTTAGATTTTTGTTCTGTGTGGATTTATTCACATACATTACATATAAATTAAAACTATTATTATTTGACTCATAAATTATTTCTGGGATTGAAACAAATGCTAAAATTTTGAAACTTGAATAACGTTAAACGATAACAAGTAAGTATGTAATCATTCCTGTATAATTCACAAAATATTACACTATTTTGCTGAAAGAAATAAAAAATCAATTGATTCAAAACAGTGCTTGAAATTAGTTATACACCTTTTAATTTAAAATAAATTTGCCACCAGTAGCTTCACTCGTGTGGTCTCTAAGGTGCTGTTTATTTGTCGACATATGATATGAATATAATTACAATGAAAAATTGAATTGTAAACAATGGTTACTATGGCAACGTTTTAATTTCCCTTACAAACATCCACTCCCATTTTGTTCCCCTTATTTGATGTCTTTTAGTATAAAATAAAAGTAAGTAATAGTCTGCTGTGAATTTAAAATTAAACCAATCGATCTATTAATCACTCAGACATTAAAATCTTCAAACAAAAATTGTAAACTTCAAAAATCTTCAAAAAAAAACCAACCTTTGCTGATTAATACGCACGATTACAGACTTAATGAGTATACTACCTTATAGTCGGCATTTGGCTACCCAAATGCCGCAGAGAATAAATAAAGAAAAAAAAGAGAATTTCTATAATATAAATTCTCTTATTTATTATACGATAAATTTAAGATTAAGCAAAGACCAGATACGCAGTTTAGGTATATCTGAGAACCCCTCAAAATCACATACATTGCTACTGGATGTTTTGAGTCAGCTAACGAAGCGCATGCGCTTTGTAAAGAAATCTATTGTAGTTTTTACGGTTTCAGAATTGCGCCTAAATGCACTGCGGTCTTTGTAAGTATACCTTTTTTTTGTTAACGTCGAGGAAATCTCCTCCTTGGATCCGTAAGTACCTATATGCCTGAACAACAATTTGCGGTCAAATCGGTAAACATACACACAAAATATACTTTTAGAATATAGAATCTGCTCCTTTTCGATTTTGACGTCAGTTGAAATTCAAATTAACTGGTCATATCTGAAACAAGTGTGTCAAACTTATTCCAATTTCGAATATTATATATATCCAGTGCTTATTTATAATAAATGGACTGACTCCGACATATTAATATTTTTCTTTTTTTCAGCTTGCAATGGTTGTCACGTGGCTGTGACAGGTTCATATAATGCTCTGCGAAGCTCACTAAATCTTCTCATAACACGAAAAAACCCATTGACGTAAGCCAATAAACGCAGAGACGCAATTTACTGTTAATTTTAAA